GCAAATCCCTTGACAAGGGCACTAATCCCATTTCTAATAGGACTTAAAACCCTCATGACCAATTACCTCTCAAAGGCATTATCTCTTCATATCATCACCTTGCTGACATCATTCAGACCATTAGCTGGTCCATCACTCTGGTGATGGTTTCTGTTGCTTCTTCCCAGAAGCGGTTTCATTTTGTATAATCCCATTTGTCTACTTGCACTTTGATGGCCTTGGCCTTTAAGGTCATGCCAAAAAAAAAGTCTTTGCTCAGATCAATGTCATGAGCAATGATGTTGCTCTATGTTTCCTTTAGTAGCTTTACAGTTTCAGGTGATTCATTTAAGACTTCATTTTTTTTGTTCAGATTTCTATTTCATGCAAGATACACACCTCATTTCATTCTTGCACAGGTAGATGTCCAGTTTTCCAATGTCATTTATTGAACTATCCTTTCCCTATTGTGTGTCCTTGACACGTTTGTTGAAAATTAATTGTCCATAAATATATGCTTTTAGGACTATTTTCAGGACTAAATTAACTTCAATTAAATAAAAAAAATACACAATGCTTTTGCTCTATGTCCCATGGTGTGTGTGTGTGTGTGTGTGTCTGTCTGTCTGTGCCAGCACTGCTGCTTTAACTCATCATCTCACACTCTGTCTTCTTCCTTGTTCACAGCGAGCATCCTACCACTTGAGCCATACCCCGGTTTGTCATTTTGCTGGTTAACTGGAGATGGAGTGTCAAGGACTTTTTTGTCCACATTGATTTGGAATCTTGATCCTCAGGTCTCTGCCTGTTGAGAATCTAGGTTTACAAGTATAGAATCATGGGCATCTGGCCCATCTCCTATTTTTGCTGTCACAATTTCATTTTTTTTATATTGTGACTCCCCTAACAAACTTCTTCAGCCTTAATACTGAAAGTATGTAATTTACATATAACCATTACAGTGTTAGAGCATTTTGACTTTTACAATTTACTTACTTCTGCTGTGATTTTTATACGTGTGTGTGTGTGCTATAAATTAGTGTCCTTTCCTTTAAGCACAAAGAACTGTCTTCAGCATTTCAGGCCAGGTGTTGGTGACCTTCCTTAATTTTTGTGTTTCCTCTTTCATTTCAGGACACCATGGTGGGTACACTGTTTTGGTTGTTTGAGGGTTTTTTTTTTTTTATGTTGACTGTTTCAACTCATTCTTTCAAGGTTTGTAAGATTTCTGCTGAGAAATGCAATGCTAGCCTTATTGACATTACCTTCTATGTGATTTGCTTTCTTTTGACGCTTTCAGGATCTTCTCTGTCACTGATGTTTGAAAGTTTGGATCTATCTATCTATCTATGTATATCTATATCTATCTATAAATATAATTTTTGTTTTTGGTGGTTGTGGGCCTTGAACTCAGGGCCTGGGTGCTGTCCCTGAGCTTTTATTGCTCAAGGCTAGTACTCTACTACCTGGAGCCACAGCATTACTTCTGGTTTTCTGGTGGTTAATTAGAGATAAGAGTCTCACGGACTTTCATGCCTGGGCTGGCTTTGAACCATAATCCTCAGATCTAAGCCTCAGGTGTGAGCCATCGGCACCCAACTCGATTATATTAATAGTCATGTTTGATTTGAATCTGAATGGAGGCTTCCCGACCTTTCAGAATCTAAACATCAATTTTTCCTCTGATTTGGAAAATGTGGTCTCAGTACCTTGTCTTAGACTTTTTCTCTGTGGTCTTTCACTTGTTTTGACACATTTATTTATACTTCATAAAAGTATACTTGGTACTTTGGTACAAACAACTCAATAAAAGACCACAGTGTAGTTATTCCTATTTGTCAACTTGTAATATTATTCTTCAGACTGGTCAAAATGATTTTCTTCCTGATCTAATTCGGATATATGAAAACCATTTACAACCTTATTTGGTGATATAATCCTATGTGCTTAAATGACACACTACACGATTTTTCAATTGGTTAGTGGGAATAAACTGCTTTGGTGTGAGCTTTTCTTTTTATCTTTAAATATGGGAATATAGTAAAATTTACTTAGCTGAGCACCGTGCCGCATACCCGTAATGCCAGCACTCAGGAGGCCGAGGCAGAAAGATTTCAAGGTAATTTTGGTATAGGTAGTGATAACTTTAGTCTTCCTGGGTCTTTTTTTTGTACATCTTCATAGCCTTATATATGAATGGCATGATCTTCTAGATTTGAATTTTCTTCTAATCATGTCCTCATTAGTTTTCTGTCCAACAAAGCCTTGACCTATCTTGTTATAGATCTACTTTTCTATTTTCTACTGGTTTTATGCTCCACACTATGGCTCATTTATTTTTAATGTGAGATAGAAGCAGATGCTCATTTTTTCCCATATGGACATTGATTCATACTATTTATTAGTTGGTTCCTCCACTGAAATGTTTCGCTTTGGTCAAGAATCAATTAATGGTATGGGTATAGGTCTACTGCTGAGCTGTATTGTTCTATTTCTGTCTATTCTGATGCCAAAGCCTGTTGTATTATGTCTTTATAGTGAGCCATCTTTTCCAAGACAGTTTCAGTTATATTGAGTCCTTTTCATCTGCACTTAATTTTAAGCAGCTCATCAGTCTTTTCTAAAACCCTATTGGAATTCTTGATGCAGTGTTGAGTCTATAGATCAACTTTGGAAGAACGATGTATGTGTTGTCCGCTACCATGTTGTTATGTGCAAAAACACGCACACATGGCAGTCTAGAAAGAGAACTCCACCAATAACCCCTAATACTTGTTCCCATCCTTTTTCAGGGCTCCACCACCCTGTGTTGTTTGCTTTCCTTGTAAGATGTTCTCTCCCATTTCCCAAGTTTTATATGAACGTAACCATCTAGTATTTCTTTTACCTTCCTCAAAGTTTTTCTGTATTTGTAATTGTACATTGGCAGTTACATTATTGCAGTATGCTAAATTCATTATGATACTAGAATTACAATACTGTGGTCAAAAACTGAGTAATCGGTTCAATCTTTTATCTTAAGACTTGGGATTTCATAGTTTGGGTATGGTGTGGATTTTGTTTATTCTCCTTTGGGGAGAAATTTTTTTTTCTAGTATTATTAGTCATGTTCAACAAAAAGGCTAGGTTTGTCATGGGTGGATATGAAATTTTAAACATTTGTTTTAATAAAATCAGGATCCAATTTTACATAGTATCTTACGATCCATTTTTATGAACCATTCTGAAAATTAATTGGATGTTTTCCATGAAATGACACCTTCTTCTGTTATTTTCTACCTCCCTACACACTACACAAGATTCCTTTTCCTCAAAGGGCATAGTTGACATTGACTTGTATTAAATAAATGTTCAAGTTAGATGTGTCCCAACTTATAGAGGAAACTGGCTACTATGTCTTTCCCAGTGGACCTCAGTAGACAATAAGACTACACAATCAACTTGAAATAAAACAAATGGGTGTGGTGCTATACAATTCCACTTGTCCACCATCCTATAGTACTCTTGAGCTGGGATGAGCAGCAACTTAAGCCAACAGGAGAAACAACAGTAAAATGGTGGAGGCCATTTCAGGACAGATAGCACCCCTCTGTAGATAGCAGCCCTTTCTCTTGATTATGCTCCAGTGACTGAAAGGTTCATGAGGAATCAAAACCAAACTATTTGTGTACAAGAAGTAATGCTAATATTCCAAACTAATAGTCCATTATCGCTACAAGTTATCAGGATTTGAATTCTGATAGCCAAGATTTTGCTCATCATCCTTCTGTGAAGCCTAGACAAAGTATTGCTTTATCTAAAGAATAGAAGAGGCAAGCAGCCTGGACCACGATCCTCCCATTCATGCTTGCATACAAAGCTCGGACAACAGGTATGGGCCAACACACTCAGCCAGTGGTTGAATATTGTGGCGTTTTGCCCAAGCTGTGACCCTACAGGCAGATCTCTGCTGCTCAAATAGCTAGGATTACAGGTTTGAGCCATCAGCTCTGGCTCTATTTCTTTTAACCACATCATTTATTCTCCTTTTGAAAATACAGCACAAGTAGAATTCTGAGTTTCCTAACATGAAGAAAATGGTGACGCTTGCTATATGTAGACCAACTACTTTATAATTGCATTAATAACTTTAAGGGCCAGAGTATCAACCTGCCTGCTATCATTAATCTTTCAATAAGTATGCTATTAAGCAAGGCAATTTCTCAGGGACGCACTTTGCTAACATCAATTTTTGTCACATTTATATAAATTGCTAATTCAAATTAAGACTTTTTGTAAACTACTTTATTTCCCTAACATATTAGTGCAAAAAATGACTGCAGTGTTCAGTGTTTATGTATGTATATATATATATATATATGCATACATATATAGATACTATATATAATTACTATATATAATACATAGTAATTGAACGTCTCCCCCCCCCCCCCACCCCCCTGTACTTGGGATAAAACCAGGGCTTTCATAATGTTTGCTAGGTAAGCGCTCTACAGCTTGCTCTATATTCGAAGCCTTTTGTGAGAAGGGGTCTTGCTACTTTGCCTAGGCTGGTCTCAAATATATACTCCTCCTCCCTCTGCATGCTAAGAGTTGGGGTTATGGGTATTACTGTTTTAAAATACTTGGTTGGGGGGATACTGGTATTGAACACAAGGCCTCATGCTTGCCAGGCAAGCACTCTACCATCTGTGCGATGTCTCCTGTCCTTTTGATTGTTTCTTTTGAAATATATAAAATAGAAGTTAAAGCAAATCTAGTCATACTTTTATAAGTCAACTAGTCATTGTTAATGCAATTTAAGGACAATTATGTCATTTTCCTTCCGTTGTTTGATATTTCTTTTGTGTCCTACACATAGTGATATTTTTAACTTTTTCTACAAATATAAGTATAAAATTATTGGTTTCATTTAGACAATATTTCACACCATCACCCTCAGTAATTCAACTGAACAGTTGAGTAGACCAGAGCTAAGTTGAAAGCACTACCGCAGGTAAAAATAAAATCACACTCAGCACTCATTTTAGGAGATGAAAAGTTTACTTAGAAATTGGAGACATTTAGCAAAGACAAATACTATTTCCTGTTTTCTGTATTCTTCAGAAATATAGTAATTTATAGCTGGCTTGGAACATAGTCACAAGTTGAAAACTAATCTAATGAGAAAAGGAATGCTTCATTCTACTTCTCTGTCATTCTTTATAACTTAGTAAGTGTACCAGTAGGTACTGAAATATGGCTGCATAGAAAGATCAGAATCCTAGGGCTGTTAATATACATGGTTATATAATAAGAATAATACATAACAAAATGAGTACAGATCTACAATTAACATGCATTTAGGCCATTATTTTGAAGGAGCAGGTCACAATAGTGAAAACACCTGAAAAAGGAACTGTTGATGTGTTATGATCAAATATCATGGTATTTTACGTGGCACATAATTTCTTTAAAAAATAGTTGGCAAGTCAAATTGGAACAGGTTGACTTCTAGAGCAAATTTAATATGAAGATGAAGGAAAGTGGCTAATTCTACTAGACATTTTTCTAAATATCTCAAATAACTTAAAGTACCATAATTTCACATTTATCACCTCCATATTTAAAATAAGTACCCCATGAATCTGCACCGTCCAGTATAGCAGCCCTTTAGTCCGTGTGGCTCGAGTACTTGTAATGTGGCCAGTCAGAATTGAGACATGTTGGAAATGTAAACTACACAGTAAATTTTTAAGACTTTGTTTATGGAAAGAAGGTAGTTATTACATCTCAATAATTTTTATATTTATTACTTATACAAATGTTATTTTCAACATACTGGATTCAATGAAACATTATTAAAGTTAATTTCACCTCTTTTTAAACATGGCTACAAGAAAATGAGAAAGTACTTTGTGGCTCACATTATATTTCTATTGAATAGTGCAGCTATAGATCATACAAAATCATTGTAATACTAGCCTAAGAATTTAGCTAATAATTTAAGCACTCTAGAGTACTAATTCCCAGAACACCACAAGTGCATTCTGCACATACCTTATTGAACATTTTATTCTTATCCCTTTCCAAGGTATACCTTCTAAATGTAAAAAAATTCACAAATATTTAATCCTTACTAATTAACCCTTAAATAATTAACCCTTTTATAAAAGGGATAATTACTTTAGGAAAGAGCTAAAGGAGAAAGGTTCAATGCAGCCTGCTATGTTGGAGAAGGCAGAAACACAGGACTGCTATTAGTGAAACAAGGTAGCCAGACTAACCTTTTAATGCCTAGGATCTGACCCTTCACCAAAACACTTATATGTAACTTGTCCATTTGAATACAAAGTACAAGAAAATCTTAAAATACCCACTGCGATTTACTGAAATGTTCTTTACCTGGCTGATTAGGGCAAATGGACACATGTGTTAGATTTCCAACTTTGCTGGAGGTGGCCAGTTAAAATCTACAAACAACGTAAAATTGAAATGCATAGTGGATGCTAATGGTATCAAGACCTTTCCCTTAAAGTCTTCAGTGTTAAACTAAGCAACTGAATAATGTCTAAAGATTAGACATTAAAATGTGTTAAAACCTCATTACTTAAAAAAAAACCTTTTTCTCCCTCACATTTATTTGTAGGTTGTGTAAATGCACAGCATATGTATAGTACCCAATCTTTCCTTTTTTTTTTTTTTTCAAATAAAAGACAGTAAGTTAGTTTAGCACACATTCCATTATTCTCTTAGCACAGACACAACAAACACAATACTGAGAGGGCTCACTTTAGTCAGAAGCCAGCATCATAATCATGCATCAAAACTTCACCAAAAGGCAATGCCTAATTACACCTGTACTACACACTTGGTTCCTGACAGCTCAAGTAGGAATGTTTGTTTCAGACTGTTTAACTTTTGTATTGAGTAAACTGACAAAAAATACTCTGACAGCTGAAAGTGAACAGATACCAAAACTATTGTATCATTTATGAAAACTTTCTAAAGATATTTAAAAAAACAAGCAGAAGTTACTTCATGTAATATAACATTACCACTCTTAAGACACTAGAAAATTAACTAAAATTTAGGGAGAAATACAGCCTAAAGTAGATAGTACTAGACACAGTGGTAAGAGAATGGATTGCAGAACACTACAGTAGTTTTTCCTCGAGAGTTCAATCACCATTTTTAATGACATTTCCTCACATTTATTATTGTGCCCCGCACAGGAAAATACTAAACTTTTCACATCTCCTATATCCAGACAATGTTCTGTATAAACAATATTTTTACTACATGTTACTAACTCCAGCCTACATATGCTTAATAATTCATGTCAAATGATAAAAATGTTCACTTTCACACATATATTACTCTATGAATATATTCCTCAGTGAAATAGTAACAAGTCTCCTTGTGGAAAACTCATTGTCTAGTGTTACAACAACAACTGACTGTTCGCTAACACCTCGTGTGACTGCACTCAGTCTACCTGCTCCAAACGTGTGACACTTGAGTAGGGGAGGAAAGGAGCAACTATCTCTGACAGAATACGGTTGGAGTCAGTATTTGCGTATATGAAATTATACATCACTATGGTATAAGACTTCATCCCCTTGTAAACGAATAATTTAATCATGTGTGCTGCATAGTACTCTGAGGAAAGTGATTGCCAGACAAAGAATTAAGGCTGATGTCCTAGAGGCCTGGGAGAAAGGTGAGGAGGTTATGGTTTATTAAACCCCAACAGCCCAAAACGAACAGTTTACTCAGATAATTTGGCGATGTAGAACAAACTGGCCGTTGTTCTAGATTTCTAATTTCACTGGAGAAAACTGCCTTAAACTGGAGTGTTTTAGGCAAATATGAAAAAAACTTATCTCTTATATATATATTTATATGTGTATATACACATTGTTTAGGATCTGCCCATAAATATTCTGAAGGAAACACAAGTCTTAGAAAGCAAAATAGCTGTCAATTTGAAAAATAATAGGAATCATTTTCCTCAATGGGATTTCTAAAAGTTGAGAATGATATTCACTAAAATAAAATATAACTTTTCCCACCTTCCCCAAACATGGAAAAATAAACTCAGTGGTTATTTCCACAGAAGACATGTGTAAGATTAATGTTCAGAACACAACCCCGAGGGCTCAGCCGCAAGAAGAATGAGGCAGGCAGGGTATCTCTACTAGCTACTGCACTGGTAGTGGTTTATAAAAAATACTATATATACTAAAATTTTAAGAGCTAGTAATATATTTAGCATATTTCTGCCTTTTCTTTTTACCACTGAATATAAAATTTTGTCCTAAATTGACTAAATCTACACCCTGAGGAATAACAACGAATAAAGAAATGTCAGGGTTTGCTTTATGGATCACATTACTGTCCAGAAAGCACGAACTATATATAGCTAATATTCTTGGAAGCACAATGTTTCACCAACAGACCAACTACTGCCCTATGTATTTTTTAAGCAAAGAATTTGGTTTTACAGTGCTGACATGGCTGGCCTGGGGAGAGAGGAGAAATCTAAAGCTGGGAGCCTGAGGTATCCCCCCCAGTCCCGATCCACTACGAACACAGCAGAATGCTGTCCGTTAGGGACATATTACTCAAGAATTCTCTATAAAGCACTTTGGAATCTTAACTATATATGCTTTTATGAAATTACAATGGACAGTTATTTGCTATTCTGAAATATGAAATTCCTATCCCTTTCCATACACAAATACATAAAATGATATACTTTGCATCTCAAATAGTTAATATTGTCGTTATTAAAAAAGAAGTCCTATTTTTCTGCCTTTTAACTATTTTACATCAAGCCTTTAAGTGGGAGGAAAGGAAGGTCTTTAAAAATAAGGCAAAGGATTCATTTAGAACAACCATTCAAGAAGCTGGTTATAGCTCAGGGCTAAGAGTGCTTTTCTAGCATGGGTAAGGTCCTGGGTTTGATCCCCAGCACCACAAAACCAAACCAAACAACAAAAAAGGTCAACCATCTCTTTTTTATCTTAGGGTAGGGTGCCTGTTTCCCTTTGAACACAGTTTGTCTTTTGTTCTAGTTTGTCTTTAACTGTAGAGCCACTAAATGTGATGCCTACAATTCAAAATGAAACTTGTCAGAGAGAAAGAATTCTTGTAGGTGCCTAACAGGGTAACTGATGACACCATCAGCTATTTCCTTCTGACAACAGTATCTCACTGAAGGACAAACAGCCCAGGGACCATGCCTAGCAGTGAGAATGAGTCATCATAAGCTGTTTAATAAAACTTCTGTCCCTCAGTTTGACTTAAAACACGAGACTTCAATATAATAAAAGCTTGTTCCCCTCAAAAATAAGAAAGGCACTCAAATGAACACAAGATACATAGCTATTTTGCTTTTGAAAGGGTCAGTGTGTAGCAGTAAAAAAAGAGTTCTTCGAGTATATGTTTTTTTGCTACTGCTTTGTGACACTGTTTGCCTCTACATACTTCTTTAATAAAAAGGTGCTTACAATGTGTATATTTGTGTGTGTGTGTGTTGTGTATATAAGCACAGTCAGTTGTATTTGAGATAGTCAAGACAAGATTCAGTTTTTATAATGTTGAAATTATTAGTATACTTTAAACATAACCTAGTAACAGAATAAAGCTTAGCTGAAAATAGCTTTAAAAAATTGTGTTACTTCTTTTTACAGCTAAATCTTTAGCATCTTCTATAATTCAAGGAGCTAAGGTAGAGATTGTTGTATAGTGAGTGGTAGTTCCACTCCCAAATTGCATTCAGCCCGTTTCAGATACCATCTTGTGCTATAAAAAGGAAAACTTCAAGATTGACAATTTGTTTGCAGCAATTTTACAAGTCCTCTCTTTTCTCTCTACACACACATACATGCACACAAACAGTCACTCACCAAGCATAAACTGAGATGACCCGAAACATATTTAAATGACACAATATCTATCATATGTTTTCTACAGACTACTGCATAAAAATTGCAAAGCGTTTTATTTCCGCATCTTATGTCACAGAAGCCCTTATTTGACGATTTAGCTGGCTTTTAGTGACAATCTATATACTACACTGAATTCTATGAATAGTTAATGGAGTTTGATCTCTAGCACTGCCACAGAAAGAAACAAAGAAAGAAAGAAAGAAAGGAAGAAAGAAAGAAAGAGAGAGAAAGAAAGAAAGAAGGAAGGAAAGAAAGAAAGACATTAACGAAGTCTTTAAATTAGAACCATACTAAAGGATTAAGAAATAGGACTGAAAGTCTGGGCCCAGAGGTCATAGGGGATATTAACAGGTTATAAAATCCTAAAGCTTAAAAAATGACTTACAAGTTTAGGAAATTCCAGGACCACAGTTCAAGTTTGGGAAAAAAGAGAAGCATAAAATGTCTATGCAAGTACAGAGATATCAACAGGTCACTAAAGTCAAAGAACTGCTTTAGCTGTCCAATAGTGGCTCTGTTGGCAAGATCTGTTCTTAAACATCATAAAAGAACAGAGAACAGTATTCTTAATGCAAGTGGGTTTCATTCATTGGGAATTCTGAATGGCAAGTACAGCTATCTAATAATTGGAGAGCTGCATTTCTTGTCTGGGACTTAGTAAGTTTAAACAAGGTAATGAATTTAAGAGAACACATCTAATTAAGTTGTTTTAAATGTGATAACTCTCCCTAAGAATTATGAAGCTAGTCTATAGTGTTTACTTACAATCTATTAATTTTTCAACTATCACTATCACTCATGACCAAGCATTCTCTTTTTCAGTTGGTCATTAACAGTGAATCCCCAGAATGTGCAAGGCACACAGAATCGGGAAATAGTGTATTACCCAAACAGGTTAAAGTTAAAAAAAAAAAAAGGCTAGGTTTATGGCAAGTCCCTTTCAGATTTTATAGCTGTTTGCTTGTCAGTAGTTTTTTTGATCCACAGGATGGTATTATGTTAACTGATAGTCTTCCAGTGAGAGCTGGGTAAAATATGTCAATTTAACTTATCGTTTTGTTTGAACAACTACATATTTGTAGAAAAGTAAGACTAACAAGTCCCTGAATTAGACATTTTCTTTCTACTTCATGAGTGCATTTCATCAGACATTATTATGCTAGTGAGTTTAAATGTAAACCACTTAAAAAATCACAACCATATATGACAATTCTATGTTTTCATATAAATGAACACTTGAAAAATATCAGTATTAAAAATAAAGTAGCCCACAAAAGTCACATACTAACAATATCTTTTGGATATTTGTATTTTTACTACTTAGTTATAACTTCATTAGGAAGACAAGAGACTAAGAGATATTAAAAGGCTGCAGGGCTTCAGAAAGGTTGAGCCTTCGGATGCATGAAGGCAGTTAACACCAATGATGGGCAAGATATTGAGTGGGAGGTATAAAAGGCATGGGGCACTATAAAAATGTAGCTAATCTTCATAGAGTAAGGTCTATACCCATTTCCTGACACATGCCCAAATCAAAGAGTAATATAAGCCCTATTGATTGAGATACTAAAACTGATGCTTGATAAAAGTTAATACCAAGTGTGGCCAGAACTTGGCAAAATGTATCAATGGAATGGATGAAAATTCTAGTATCTTCTCTGCTGTTTCTACCTAATCTCCACATGAGTGGAAACCTCATAAGTCTAATGGTTTTAATCCATGGTAGTCTATTAAAACTTGAGGTATTTGATTCAAAAGATGCTTTGTATACAAGGGGCTAAGGGGTTACATTTATAATGGCAATTATTTTCTCACCTAAACTGTATAAAAACTACAAAAAGGTTAAGTTTTGCTCCCAAAGAGAGGAGCAATGTCTATCGACTGGGGCCAAGCTGGGTAGTTTATACCCGTGTTCTTCAAAGTCTCAGTACAGCAGCCCATAACTCAACAAAACCATGATGCCCAAGAAAAAGATCTATTTTGTTTCCCTTAAGACAAGTCCAGGCTTTCTAGTATCATAAGACAAGAGAAGCCTGTTTTATCCTGTATCCTGCTCCCCACCCTACACATCACTAATCATGAAAAAAGAGAATAGGTAAAGTAATCATACTTTGTATTTTAGAGATATGGTATAAAATTCAGAGAAATAGGACAGTTAATTTCAGTAGGCATCTGAAAAGAAAGACAGATGAGAGAAAACACACGAAAGTGAAGGTGATAAAAGATGGAACAGGCTAGAAAAAGGAGAAAGGTATGTGCAAAGAAGAAACAGACCATTTACAAAGGGGGAAATAAGATAATGAACTGGACATTATGTGACCCATTCCATACCTCCCCTTCATCAACCTAAAAAACGCAGCCCTTGTTATTAAAAAGGTAAGATACAGCTATAATGTGGATACTTTGGTACCTCATCCCTGATAAGTTCAGTATCAAAGTGTTTTTGTTTCATTTTTAGAATACAAATTGAAGAACTAATCTTCAAAACTACTCTTTCTCCTTGGCGTCCACAAAATTTTTGTTGATTATCTAGTATAGCCTCAATAAGTTAAATGTTTAAAAAGGAAGTTTATATGCATACATTTCTATGTATGTTTCCCATTTTTCATAAGTGATTTTAGGAGGAAAAAAAGTAGTTAACTAAAAATGGCATTCTGAAGTCTTTTTCAAAAAGAAAAACATTTATTTTATAAGGGCTGACTTGATTGTTTTGGCATATACCAAATATAAGATAAAAACAATCTACCAAAACTAGTAATAAAAATGCTTTTCAGCACTATAATTACACAAACCCTTAGTTTTTTTTTTTTAAATAACCATTTAGAATGGATTACACTGGAAGCACATTTTCATGTAAATTCTAATGCTTCTGACTTTGGTTATCTTTGTCTAGGACTTGAGAATATGGTAGAGAAAGAGGTGTAGTTTATATCTTCAGATATCCATCTATTTAGTTATTTGATTCTCAGAACAATAGTTAGAACAAGTCATATTGCATTTGTATTAATGTTCTTGAGCTGAACGACAATGAAAAATTTTAATTAAAAAAATTTGGCTATGCACCAACTGAACTGAAGTAGATAAAGGTATACATATAAACTCATTAGAAGGTCCAAATGAGAAGCCCAACATAGAAATAGAGTGTAAGAAATTGAAAAAAAAGTAAGACTTACTGTTTAGCAGGATGGAACTAGACAATTATTACTTTATCCACAAAGGAATGTATTTTTAAAATAAATAGTTACTATGGACTTTTAACTTACAGATGAGGAGCACACAGTTTCCTAGGAAGAGCAAAAAGTTGGTGCAACTATGTCAGTAAGAAAGCAGTATTGCACTAAAAGGGGAACTCTATGGATCACCCCAACTCTTTCATTGACTCAAGGTGACCAGCCATTTCCTGTATGCATTGGCATACCTGGCTTGCTCGACGTTCCGACAGGTGGATAGCACTTGATCAATGAACCTGTGCTCCATTTCTAGGCCTAGGGAGTCTGGAGCTGGGGTTCGCTTCAGGCGCTTGGTTTCCTGGGAATAGCCTTGCTTGCTAGAGTCATTCAGTCCATCTACTTCCATTGCCTGAGATGGCTGGGGACCTGCTGGGATGAGGTGCAAATCATACAAAGCTCTTCCGGGGCTATCTGCAGGTGACAGCTGGGTCATGCTGCCAGGAAGCCTGCCATTTAAATGATGTTGAAGGTAGAAAGCATGCCGCCTGTGGTGGGGATGGGTAGAGAAAAAACAACATCACGTCACAACATCGAGCTTTTGAGGGGGAGAACTGCTATAATTTGAAAGCACACAGCGTTCAGTCCACTGCCCATTTCAAAGCCTAGAGCTAAACAGGGAAAGGAGGGAAAACAGTTGTAATGGAATCTCTATGCTTTGGATAAAGGTGTCAACACTAGCTTACTGGTTTGCGAGAAACAACACTACTTCTAAGAGTTTTTCAGTCAGTATTTGCTGAGCTAACAATGGCTTAGAGGTGTTACTCTTTAGTAACTGTATTGTAACATTAGAAACAGGTCTTAGCTCAGTGTTTGCCATAAAGTACCATATAAAAAAATAAAAACTAACGTCATGGATACCTTAGAAGATGAGTAATTAAGAAATGGGGGGTAAACAGTTCCGCTGGAGGTTTAATTCATGGCCTCTATAATTACCATGTTTAAAGCAGAATGCATTTACAGCCATTATTCTTATTACCTAGACATACTGAACTTCTTTCTAAAGCTACCACTGTACTCGTAAATATCCATATGCAGTGGGTATGTGCAGGGCTCTGAGCAAAACAGAAGATATAATTCCTATTTTCTTTTATATTTTTGCCTGTCCTGGGGCTTGAACTGTGTGCCTGGGCACTGTCCTTGAGCTTCTTTTGCTCAAGGCTAACACTCTATTACTTGCACCACACTGCCACTTCTGGCATTTTCTGTGTTGGTGGTACTAAGGAATCGAACCCAGGGCTTCATGAATGTGAGGCAAACACTCTACCATTAAGCCACATTTCCAGCCCTTCTATTTCCTTTGTAAAAGAAAGTTTCTCTATCTTATCACTCCGAATTGCTTAAAATTAAAAATGAATGTCCCTATGTCCCACTGGCATAACTGCTGTGTGTAATAAGATAGATTACACAGGTTCTGTTGTTTTATTTTATCACCCATACTAGCAACTCTAAAGCCCTTAAACTCTAACTCTACTCATTTTCCCTGTATATTCCAGAGTTGATGAGAAACATATAATATACCCATTTAATGGATAGTAAAATTAAACAACATTCATTGCCTAATAGTAATGAATCTGTAGCAGAAAACTAGCCTATGTAATACATAACCTAACTACAAAGAAAAGTTATCTGCTAACCTAGCTGGCATTCAAATGCACCTACCATTTTTTTAAATATCCAAAGTGTAATACACCTAAATACAAAATAGCTATAAAAACCTTGAATATAAAAACAACCTCAAGTTAAGATTTTTCTCACTTGAAATTGTGGGATAAGTGTGTTAAGATAATTCTCTGTTCATGAAGGTGACAAAAACAGAGGTAGGGAGAAGGTGGCTTCTGAGTATGTTAACCAGCTCTCAAGTAGAGACTAGTCTGGATAAAGGGTATAAACCCAGTAACTTAAGAAATAAACACACATTAAAAAAAATCTACTTCCTGCTTACACTGACAAGCCTTTTGCTTACAAACTGACAAACTGAATCCACTGGCTGGAAGTAGAATTTGTATTTAATGAAAACAAAGATGCTTCCAAATAGAGGAAGTTCCAAAATGAATGAAGCAAGGAGTTCACTTATATAGACTTCATCAAGGCATGAAATTTGCCTTGTTAAATGTACTCAAAACTCAGGGTAAGGACCGGTAAACTTTTTGTTTAAAGAAACAAAGTTGGCTTAAATAAAAAGTATAAAGAGATTGTTCTTAAAGTAAGTTAATCTGAAGACCATTTAGGGCAAGAAAACAATATTAAAAATTACCTTTTTCCTCAGGATCTAATTAATAGTCTCAATCCTGATTGCATCGTAATTATCTATTAAGAGCTTTTTAAAATTAAAAACAGATGACAGCATTCCATCCAAGACATGCTAGATATTAGGATCTGTAAAGATGAGTAGAGAAATTCATGTGTGCTTTGTTTGCATTTTGAAAGTAACACAGGGATTTTGCTGCATATTTATGGATGAATGCCACTATCCTCAACAGGTAGAGATCTGTGTGAGGAACCTATTAATGATGATGATGATGATGATGGTGGTGGTATGGTAAATACAAACCCTTTCTCACTCAGGCAAAGCTGCCATCAGATGGTCATATTTACCCAAAGACAGAAGTCAATATAATACCATCTGCAGGTCCCAAAATGACATGTCCAGTTTCACACAAGAGGTAAATTTTCTCCTTTTCTTACCTATGACACCAAAGAGTTTCATGTCCTGGGTACGAATCAATAAGATCTGTGGTGAATTCAACTTCTTCTTCTAGAAGCTGGGGTAGATTGATCCTTGATTCTTCTGCTGAAGCTGTTGCTTCTTCATCTTTTGGAAGAACTAGAGTAGCTTCACTTCTCAAAGAGTTTTGTTCTAATACAGAAGTATCTGTCACAGTTTGGCTAATCAAAGACTTCAGTAAAAACTGGCGGTAGTGAAATCCACTGTGGTCTGAAACATGTACGGATGCCCAATGTTTAGTAGAAGACAGTTCATCAAGAAGGATCTTGTGGGAAGAAGAAAGGGAGGTGAGAAGAGAAATTTCCAAAGGCTTTCCTTTCTTAGTTAACACCTCTGACTTTTCTTTGAAATGTTCTTTATTTGACTACCATCTCACCAACATTTTGAAAACAGTATCTACCACACTGCTGTCACTTAGCAGAAGCTTAATACATGCTAGTTTCCCCATTCTTTTATAAAGTGGGAGAGGTTTTCTTTTTGTAAGTCACAAAATTCATGAACTTGTGATACTTTTTTCTCTTGGCTTTGATAAATAGCTTACTGACTGGCATGGAGAAAAGTCTAATTCCAAAATGATGAACATTAGCGCATTCATTTAGAAGTAATGGTAGCACAGAAGGTTAAAACATTAAAAGATAAATTCTGGTTACTGGGTTGTGTGTATGCCAGTCCTAGGGCTTGACTTCAGGGCCTGGGCACTGCCTCTGTGCTTTTTTTTTTTTTTTTTTCTCAAGGCAAGCTTCTGCCACTTGCTTTTGTGGTGATTAGTTGGAGATGAGAGTCTCACAGACTTTCCTACCTGGGCTTGCTTCCAATCGGCATCCTCAGATCTCAGCTTCCTGAGTTGCTAGGATTACAGGTGTAAGCTACCAGCACCTGCCTTGCCTTGATTATTTTTGAGGGAGGTTTGTTTTATATCTGGGCTGACCTGGACTGCAGTCTTTCTGCTTGTGCTTTCCTCTGTCACCTGGGAGGCAGAGGCGTGCAGTCCCAGCCCAGCCACAGTGCTTCCCCTGAGGCCTGGAGAGTACACTACTTCCTCTGACTAACTGCTTGCCAAGGGTCCTTGGTTCTTCCTGTACAAACTTCTCACACATCTCTTTTCTTCCTCAGAAGAAATCTTCTTTCCCTCTTCTGAACCTCCACAGCACTTGTGTGTTCCATTATACAGAGAGAATATTGTGTACGTGTCTTTGTCCCACCTATTGCTCAGGTATTATATGTATGTATGTATTTATGTATGCATTGTGCCAGTCCTGTGGCTCAGCTCAGGGCCTGGGCACAGTCCTTGAGCTGCTGTGCCCAAGGCAAGTGCTCTACCACTTGAGCCACAGCTCCATTTCTGGGTTTTTGGTGGTTAGTTTGTATAAGAGTCTCACTGGCTTCCTGCCTGGGCTGGCTCTGAACTGAGATCCTCAGATCTCAGGCTCCTAAGTAGTTAGGATTACAAGTACGAGTGACTGGTGCCTGCAAGACATTTATTCATCCCTAACAGATATTTTTATCCCTCTATGCGCACTGCCATCTAATAAATGAATGAACAATTTAACTAAGGAGTCCTTTGCTCTTGTTAAAGAGCAAAGGACTGAGATTACTTTCAGAAAAATTATATCAGTTCAATTTCACATATCTTCTTTAAGTTCTCTCCTTAAAAAAAAAAAATTTTTTTTTTTTTTTGCTCATTCCTGGGCTTGAACCCAGGGCTTGGATGCTATTCCTGAGCTCTTTTGCTCAAGGCTAGCTCTCTATCATTTTGAGCCATAGCTCCACTTCTGGTTTTTGAGTGGTTTTCTGGAGATAAGACTCTCACAGGGACTTTTCTGCCCAGGCTGGCTTTGAACCGCAATCCTCAGATCTAAGCCTCCTGAGTAGCTTGGATTACAAGCTTCAAACACCTGTGCCCAACTCCTTTAAACTTCTTTAAAATTGCAGTATCATCTCGGCAGCACCATCTTCTCCTGTCCCAGACTCTTGAGTGGTCCAAGCTTTACAGTTTATTCACAGCTACTAACATTTAAATTCGGAAGCTACGGTCTGGAAAGTGGCTGAGAAATGGAAAACTAGGTAATTTATTTGCTTTAAAAGGTGAGCAGAGATAGTACCAGATAAAGATCTATCTAAAGAGACTAATTTAAGGTTAGGATATATTTAAAGAATTAGGCCACAGGATATTTAGTAGCTTTTTATTTTGATATAGTTTCTTAAGCATAGACTGAATAGCTACATATTTAAAAATAAACTTATTTAACATGAATAAGCTTCAGATTATCTCTCACTGGACAGTTCTCTGAAAAAAAAAAAAAACCTCAGAAACAAAGGAGGAGGCAACAATGCTTGATAAGATGTTCTCATTACCTTGCTCATGTAATTGTAACCCCTCTGTATGGTATTTTCACAATAATAATAATAAAAAAACCTCAGAATAACACAAATAAAATTTAATTTCTTACAACTCAAATCTGTATGTTTTTCTAAGACATAGAAAGATGCAAGAATTTCATGGCTTTTTTTTATGGGACCAGGTATTTGTGTATAGATGCTGATGAGATATTAAGAAGCTACAGGAAGTGGTGCTGTGGCAAGTGATAGAGCATTAGCTTTGAGCACAAAAGAGGCTCAGGGACAGCACCCAGGCCCTGAGTTCAAGCTCCATAACTGACCAAAAACAAAACAAACAAAAACAAAAAAAATCCCAAAGAAAAAAAACTACAGAAGCAATGCAATAAAGATACCAGCCTTAAATTACACATGCTATCAATCTCCATAAAGTATTTGTTTTTCCTTATTATAAAGAGGATGAAAATGATTATAGAAAATTTCAACAGTCTGGACAAATACAAAAAACAACCAAAACTCACTCATTACCCTGCTGGCTACTCTCAAAAGTCTGCCAGAGCTGGGCACTGGTGCCTGACGCCTATAATCCTAGCTACTCAGGAGGCTGAGATCTGAGGATCATGGCTCAAAGCCAGCCCAGGCAGGAAAGTCCTTGCGTCTCTTATCTCTAATAAACCAATAGAAAACAGGAAGTGGTGCTATGGCTCAAGCGGTACAGCATGCTTGCCTTGAGCTGAAGAGCCCAGGGACTGTGCCCAAGCCCAGAGTTCAAGCCCCATCACCAACCAAAAAAAAAAAAAGTCTGGCAGATAATCTTTCAGGTTTTCTTCTTAGTACGGCATGCACACAAATTTTATTTTTAACACAAATTTTGTACTGATTTTATTCCACTGAAATTATATATCATCTTACATCTTTACTATTTTATTACATAATTTTAATGGTTGCAAAATACTTTTTCTTAAGAAAAATCACAATTTATAAATTCTTCTATTTCTACTCTTGCATAAGAAAAATTCTTACAACTAAAACTACATGGTATCTATCAATTTAGGAGAAAGTTCTAGAAGTTTTCCTAAATCTATTAACTTTATTCATTTTATTTATTAAGTAGTTTGCATGATAAGTAGATACAAAAATTAAAGTAGACCATACATTTTGCATATTTTGTGAAGATTAAAACATTCATGAGATGTTTATCAAAGATGTTTATGTTATGAAAGGCATTTTTATGAGCTAATTTTTTTGTTTCCTCTTATATTAACTACCTATTTTGCCTAATTCTCTTCATTTATGAATTGACTAATTTACTATTTGTACTAATTTACTATTTGTACTAGTCATTATTTTTCTTTTAAGTTTTATAAGAGATATTTATGTATTAATACTATTAGATCTCCATTTATCATATACACTTTAAATATTTTTATCAATATACTATAGCAATCAACTTTCTATTTGCATTTTTCCAGGTTTACTTGCATAGTTGACAAGTTTTATATACTTTTGATATACAAGAAATGTTCTTATGTGTATACTGTGAAATAATTAACACAAGCTAATTAACATCCATCACTTCACAAGGTATTTTCCTTTTTATGGTAAAAACATTTATAATCAACTCAGCAAATTTTAAGAAACAATATTTGAATTCTTGTCATTGTGCTGTACAATTGATCTTTACAACTTTTTTAGCCAGCAATTTCCCATTCCTCACCCTAGCCCAACTCAGCCACGCACCACTGTACTATTTGCTTCTAGGAGTTCAATGTTTTTAGATTCCACATAGAAGTGAGATCATATAATAGTTTGCTTATTTCACCTGGCATGTCCTCCAGATCCTTATGTTCTTCTCACAGACTTTTAATTCTCTTATAATTCAGTGTACATAGGAAATTAAAACTCTTATGTTAAATATTTTCTAAAAAGTCCATTTTACAAATTGAATAAAGTATTTCTTCTTTAATTATGTGAAATGCCACATCTACACCTATTATACACTGGGATTTGTTTCTAACCTTACATATTTTTTTAAATTACTGAATGAAACAGTACTGTAATATACTCAAATATCTAATAATACAGTGTTCTTTTCCCCCCAACAATTTCTTAGCCACTTTTTGCAGCTTTCTTATTTCTAATAAACTCTAAAATCAATTTCTGAAGTTGAAAGATAATACATCATTTATAGATTTATGGTTATATTGCCATCATTGCTAATATATTTCAAGCATTTTCAACTACCTCAAAAATAATCCATTCCTATGAAGAGTCAATTCTCATTCCCTCTTCCAAGCCTCTGGCATTCAATAATATAATTTGTCTTTTCTGCATATACCAAATAAATAAATGATCTTTTGAATCTGCTCACTTTCAATAGTTCAATGTTTTAATGTTCGTCCATGCTCCAAGATGTATCCTTATTTTTATTGCCTTCTTATGGCCAACATTACATTCCATAATATACTGTGCTTTGTTCTCCTTTTCTCAGGTAACACAAAATTGGATTGTTATATTTTTTGGCTATTTTTAACCATACTGACCACAAATACTCGCATACAAGATTTGTTATGATCATGTTTTCAGTCCTTTTGGGCGATTCTAAGCATTATAGGATCCTATACTTTCCTTATTTTATATGTATGTAAATTCTACCATTTTGTCTTTTGAGAAAATGCTTAACATATTTTCCATGCTAACTGCACTATTTTACATTTTCACTATGTTTGTCATTATTTTAGCCATTCTAATTGGTGTGAGGTAAGTGTTTTACTCACTGTGGTTTTGATTTCCACTTCTTAAATGGCTGATGATATCCAATGTCTTTGCTATCTTTACTGGTTGCTTGCGAATCTTTTCTGGAAAATGTTCCCATGTTTGTTTTTGTGCCAGTTTGAACTCAAGGTTTGAACTCAAGGACTCACACTTGCCAAGCAAGTGTTGTGCCACCTGAGCTGTTTGACTGGACATCAGGTTCCTGTCTGGTTGTGCAGGGGCTTGGCTGCACTCAGACTATTTACAGTAATAACAAAGCTAGAATGATAGGCACAGCCATTAACTTTGAACTCTCCATCTCAGCCTCCCAAGTACTTAGGATTACAGGCATTTGCCACTGGCACCTGCTCCCATATGTTTTTGTTTTTTTAAAGCAACATGTTATATCAACTTTTAGTTGGCTAATACCAATAAATTTTGCTTGGTAACCTGCCCTTTCCACTCTACCCTCATAAATAAGATCTTAGAGGAAGCTGGGTATAATGGCTGAAGTCTATAATCTACTTGGGATACAGAGATTAGGGGAGTGTTGTGGTCCAGGCATAAAGTGTAGAGACTCCATCTCAACCTATGGCTTAGCATGATGACATGTGCCTATTATCCCAGCTACAGGGGAAGCACAATTTCTATTATCTATTATCCCCAGTAACATAGGAAAGCATAGGTAGAAGGATCACAGCCCCAGTCCGCCTGGGCATAAAGTAAGATCCTACCTCGAAAATAACCAAGGCAAAAAGGGGCTGAAGAGATATACCACCTGATCCATTCATGTACTGAGGGGCATCTGGATTGATTCCATGTCTTGGCTATGGTAACTAATGCTGCAATGTACATGGTTGTGCTGGTAGCTTTAGTATGGCCTTGTTTGTGGTTATTTAGGTAAATGCCCAGAAGTGAGATTGCTGGGTCACAGGAAGCTCTATGTTTAGTCTTTTGAGGAACCTCAGACTGCTTTCCAGAGTGGTCAAACAAGTTTACACTCCCGCAAACAGTGTAGCAGCAGCAGTTCCCTTTTGGCCACATCCCCACCAGCACCTGTTATTATTAGATTTCTTGATAATGGCCTTTCTAATTGGGGTAAGGTAGAATCTCAATGTTGTTTTGATTTGTATTCTTTTATGGCCAGAGATGTTGAACATTTCTTCATGTGTCTATTGGCCATTCTTATTTCTTCTTCAGAGAAGCCTCTCTTTAAGTCTAGCCCACTTGCTAATGGGGCAGTTGTTTCTTTGAGGATTTGTTTTTGGGTGTTTAATTTTTTGGCTGTAAGTATATTTTAGATATGATGCCTTGTCTGTTGTTTGGCTAGTAAAAATCTTCTCCCATTCGGTGGGCTTTCAATTTATCTTTCTATCTATGTCTTTTGCCATGAAGAAACTCTGTAGTTTAATGCACTCCCATTTATCCAACCTTTCTTTGATTTGTTGTGATTTGTTCTGGGTGTTTATTGAGAAAATTTTGACCTGTGCCAAGGAATCCTAGAGTTTCCCCTATTCCTTCCTATAGTATATACACACAATGGAATTCTATGCTTCCATCAGAAAGAACAACATTGCCCATTCATAAGGAAATGGAAAGACCTGGAAAAAAATATTAAGCAAAGCAAGCCAGGCCCAAAGAAACGTAGGTTGCATGGTTTCCCTCATTTGTAATAACTAGAATATGTTTATGATATTCTCAGCAGAGAATCACAATGGCTCAGTCACTAGGTATATATGACCATATATAATGAAGCATATCAAAATGAACTCCAAGAATTGGAAATAACAGGTTTTTATTATGTACTGTTTGCTGTTATTATTATTTCTTTTTTACTTTTCTGTACCTTTTGTTTTGTATATAAGCTTATCTGATCCGTGGAAGGGAAAGGGTATCAAAGAAACAGCAGGGCAAAGGAAGAACTAATGAAACAATGAGACTCACTAAATACTATGTCAGAAATGAACTTTACAACTTGGCAGGGGAAGGGAATGGGGAGGGGAAAGTGGAAGAAAATGAGGGAGGGGGTTACAGTGTTCAAAAAGAAATGTATTTATTATCTTACTTAGGTAACCATAAACAACCCCTCCTGCTTGTCACCTTTACAATAAATAAGTTTTAAAAAGTTATTCCACCTGTTTTGCAAGCACAAAGCTCTGAGTTCATTCCTCACACTGTCAAAGTAAAATTAATTTATGTTCCTTTAAAGATACAAATAACACCAGGGAACATAAAGCAGAAAAATAGTCTCATGATGCTACTCCACAGCAGTAATAACCGTCCTTTACTCTGTAACATTTTTCCCAACTTAAAAAGTTTGTTAACAACAAAGAAAAAAAATCTGTAACACCACTGTATATGTTTTCGTAAGTATCTACTATATATTTGCTTTCGTAAGTATCTACTGTATATTTGCTTTGTTCCAGGTGCTATTTCCAACTTTACAGTGCTTTCTCATATTCTATGAGCTCTACCCTTTACTTGGTTCTACAGCTTACTATAAATATTTTTATTTAAAAATCTTCTAAACTACAACTTAGAGTAAACCAAAACACTCTTACTTGTGATAGTTTGTAATCTAGTAATTCCTCAGCATTAAAAGGCTAAAAGTCTTTCTAGTACATTATAAACACTTTTATAATCAACCTTTATATCTAATAAAGTATTCAATGATTATTAAGCACTTCATGTGGACACATTCAATGTGCATCACTTGATGAGACAAGAATTATCATTCTAGCTTTACAGTGAGGAAGCCAAAGGTCAGAAAGGCTACACAACAAATTGGCTAAACATCCATGATACTAACTGTATCTCTATGTCCACAGAGTGAGCCTTGGTCATTACACAGTATTTCTTTCGGATGAATCCCTAGAAGCAGAACTGTTAGAGGTATTGCTCACCCTCTTCCTTCTTTTAAAAAGCTACTAAATGTTATGTTGCTCATTAGTCAGATTCTAACCATTTTTATGATGTTCATTTTTATACTCTTACCAATACTTTAGCACTTAAATACATTGTGCTGCAGTGGTGGTGACCACAGCCCTACAGGCAGGACAAGGAAGCTGATGATACCTGGTTCCTTATTCCTGACTTCATGGGAATGCTCCTTAAAAGGGCCAAATCATAGCAAGAGCTCTCAGCTCACTTGGGCTTTTCTTCATAGTTCTAAGTTACCTGAAAGTGCTCACCTCCACTAGGAAGTAGGGGAGCTGAGATGACCAGCTCCACAGCACCACTAGATAACTTGTGCTCCATGCCTTCAGACTCAGGCAGCTATTTCTAGTGAGTCTAGTGGCTGGAGAAAGAGGTAGTTCCTATAATCTCAACTCTGTACTCTAAGTTTCCCTCAGTCCCTTCCAGCATCATTCTGCATTGCGATTGACTTGCTCAGCCAGAGTTCTAGTTTGGAGAGGGCAGCTCTTTGTCTTTATGGTCACACCCAAGTACACATGGCAGTAGCTGGGAATAAATAATGAAAAGTACTTATGGCCAGTTTCATTTTACCTATGGGAGAACAGAGAGAGGGACTGAAAGTCAACCAGTCTTTATGAAGGGCCTGGTACTTTCTTACCATAATTCATTGAAACAGACAGTGGAGTCCTTACTTTCAAAAGGAAAAGATTAAAAACCACCCTTCCACATAGCAGCATAATTCTGAGGTCAGGCTGATATGATTCTAAGATCTGCTTTTTCTATTCCATTAGGTGGCCTCTTTACCAGAAACTGACAGCTATATAAATTGGAAGAAAAAGGGATATTCTTTCAGAGTTGTTGCCGTAAAAGGTCTTGGAAGTAAAACCTTTATTTGTCCTCAAGAGGAAAACAAAGGGAAAAGAAGGTAGACACATGAAGTAGACTGTAACCTAAAATTACAAACTGCTTTCCCATGAGTCTTAAAACATCACTTAGGGCACTCTGACCTTCAACTTGACCTCCTTCTGAATTATTCCAATCTGAGAAACTTTTTGGAAGAGTACCCTACATTCTTAGGACATTATAATACTATAAGGAGAGAAGAAGAAAATGAAGAAACATAATAAAAATAGAAAGCAGCACAAAGAATACTGGTTCTTACTCTGATGAATGAATAGTAAATGGTCAATTATGACTAACTCTAGGCCATGAAAATCTCTGAAAATTTCCATCTCTTTATTTCTAAACTGAAAATACTAGGTTCTGAGAGTTGCTAACCTAACTAGGCATTCAAATAAGCCCCTGAGCCTATGGGTAGAACAAATAAACAAACACCAGTACATTCTACTCTCATTGTCTTGGACTGAATTGGGACTTAGGAATCACCAGATAATTGATAGACTGCAAATGTGGAAATACCTAGGTTTGATCTTCTGACTCTGCTTCCCTTTACCTCCATTGTAGGGAAAGGAACCTGGAAAGGTGGTCACCTAAGTCAGCTCATGTTTACATATCCAGATACTACTAAGAAATCATTCTAAATCTAAAAGGTACTCGGTGCTTCAGGGCAAAGTAAGGTGTGATCAGTTTTTCTAACAGATCTACTCTGCTTTGGACTACCAATGCATTACACCGAGTAGTGCCCTAAAGCAACTGCACTTTTTGCAACTGCTAGAGTTTCTTTGGAGGTGTCAGTTGTCATAATCCTCTTGGGTTGGTGGATCACTATTTCCTTTCCTTTATTACGTTAAAGCTCTTCTGAGAGGGCAGACAGGCAGCTTAGCCCCAGACACCCATTCACAGTCCTACCTTGACGTCTAGCTTGGCCAGGTGTTGTAAAACCCAGATGCGATGGGACCAGGCATTATAGTTGCTTGGGTATCTCCCTGCTGCTTCACCACACACTTCCATCTCTTCGTGTATTAGTCGCTGAGTCCTCTCTGCAGGTATTGTTCCCAAGTTTCCTTTGGCCACAAAGGAAGGTAAGGAACTTTCTTGAATCAGTTGTTGTAGCACCCATCGCCTGCCAAGGCAGCATGTGGGAAAGAGGAGAAAAGGAACATCATTCAGAGAGGAAAAAAACCACAACCAAACTCTTCTTTTCTTTGTTCTTGACTTAGTTTCCATTCACATACAGTGAAGAACAATATCTATAAATTTAGCTTGGGGGAAGGTGAGGAGGGTCAACTGTTTTATTGTTTTTGAAGATAAATGAAGTATTGTGAATGGGGGCTAGTTAGGAAATAGAAACTTTTCTATAATTTTAGAATTTGTCAAAAAGAAAATGTCATCAGTTCTAAAACAACAATTCCCAAGCTCCATTTTTCTAAAAAATAAAAAGGAACTGGATGGTCTGTGTGCTATATGAGGTGATGCGCTTGGGTTATTAAAGATTAATAAATACATATACACACTTAGCCCTCTGTGCGTTTACAAATAATTAAGAAACTTTTTCTATTATTTTGGTGCCAGTACTGAGGCTTGAACTCAGGGCCTGGTGCGATCCCTTAGCACTTTTGCTCAAGACTGGCATTCAACCACTGGAGCGACACCTGCACATCTGAAAGTCTCATGGACCTTGCTGCTGGGGTGGGCTTTGAACCCTGAATCCTCAGATCTCAGCCTCCTGAGTAGCTAGGACTATAGATGTGAGCCGCTGGCGCTTGTCAATAAGCTGTACTTTGACAGCATTAATTAACAGAATTTTATGCTACATCATAAAATCTACAAATACAATATAATTAAGCCAAATTTGTCTTTACTCAAAATTTTTCCTTCTGTATATTTAAGATTTGCGTTAGCACACATATAAATGAAAAGCATTAAAAACTCTTAACTAATGTTGTTGGTTAGCACAATTTTTTTTCCTCTTATGTCTTCTTTTAACTAAAAACTGTGATTCCAAAGGGGTGGAAAATTGAGCATCATTTTTAATTATGAGTTTTTATTTGACAATGAAATGCTTTTTAAAAATAAATTGCAGAAGCCAATAATTAATGGATGCATATATATATGTGTGTGTAAAAGTTTTCTTTTGACCTACACCCACCCACACACCTAAAAACACACACATACACAATTCTCTAACATCTGTATTCCAATTTTTAGTAAGGAAGAAAATAGTACTCTTTTACGTGGTTTGTAGGAGCTGACTTGGTGCAAACCAGAGGCAAGAGTATAGCCAAGATCTTTTGAGCTGACCTAAAATTCTAAAAAGACTCAAGATTAAGCAAAAGTGAATGATTTCACGAGAATAGACTTCTTCAGAGAGTTCTTCACTGATACCAATCAGCAAGATCACAACATCCCTTTTCAGTTAAACAACAGCAGTTACATGGGTCCAAGTGGAAAATACTTCTAGAGATCAGAATTTTGAGAACCCTTTCTTGCTGTCTTAGGTCATTACCCTAAAAACCCTCTTTATATTTATGATCTTAATAGCTTTTTTTTTTCTTTTTTCGGTCGGTCAGTCTGGGCCTGGGCACTGTCCCTCAACTCTTCAGCTCAAGGCTAGTGCTCTACCACTTGAGCCAAAGTGCCACTTCTGGTTTTCTGGTGGTTCATTGGAGATAAGAGTCTCATGGACTTTCCTGCCTGGGCTGGTTTTGAACCACGATCCTCAGATCTCAGCCTCCTGAGTAGCTAGGATTAAGACATGAGCCACTGATGCCTGGCATGATCTTTAATAGCTTTAACTCAACCTCTTTAACCATTCACTTCAGTAGCCCTTAGCCTCCTTTAAAAGTTAAGTTTAATGATCACAACCATCAGACTGCCATCTTTACCAGGAACAGAACCTTACATTTATGCATTTAAAAACTCAATTTGCTTATTACAGATGGGTGTATAAATGCAATGTCTAAAATTACAAAAAAACAGGTAGTAACAGCCGACAATTATTAATTAATACGTGCCGGGCATTGTGTTTACCTGCATAATCTCATCCACATCCAACTCTTAACACGATGAGACAGGTATAATTATCACTCTTGTTTCACAAGTCAGGAAACAGATTCAGGCACTTAAGGATCAAACGATAGTCTTTTGACAACAGCATGGGTCACATGGCTTTAGAACACATGCTATGAACCAACATGCAGCCCTCTGTCAAAAGCTGTGTTTTCTTTCTCCAGAAATCCTGAATACTAAAAAAAAAGATCTTAGCCAGTTACCTGGATGGGTGATTACGGGCTCACATCTAAAATCCTAGCTACTCAGGAGACTGAGATCTGAGAATCATAGTTTAGAGCCAGTCAAGGCAGACAAATCTACAAACAACTAGCAAAAAGCCAGAAATATGTAGGGCTCAAGTGGCAGAGTGCCAGCCACGAGTCAAAAAAGCTGAATTAAGGGTGAGGTTCAGAGTTCAAGCCCCAGTACCAGCATAAAACAAAAACAAATGAATATATGATCTTAAACATTAACCACACCTATGAATCCATGTTTCTGGACTCTTTGGAAACTTAGTTAAGGCCAGTTTTCCCAGATATAAGTCCTTAATTGGATTTAAAGTGCCAGAGAGGATCAGCTCTTTCCTGCAAGAGAAAAAAATAAAATAAAAACATTACTTATCCTTCTATTCAATCATTCTGCATGGCTTTTAATATAACTTCACTGCAAAGTGAATTTCCAAGAACTAAAATAATAAAATTAATAAAAGCAATTTTAAAAATGGAAGGGTTGACACTGGTCAAGATGCACTCTACTCATAAACTGACATGTTGAATGAATTGAAACCCCTCTGTACAACTACATAAAGGTAATAAAAAAATTTAAAAATTAAATCCCCAATCCACTGTACTATATAAAATCATCATAAATTGCACATATAGTAATCGAGAACAAATTATCGTTATAAAAAAACAAAACAACAAAAAGCAAATGAACAAACTAATGACTGAGCTTCTAGAAAGCAGCTCTTCCAACAACAGAACTTTAGTAACTATTTGGGAAAAGGCAAAGAAGTTTTCTGGCTTCACATCCAAAGGTTATATGACCTGACTGAAGTATCTATAGGACAGATTCAATAGTAGTAAAGAATTGCTTTTACTTCCTAACTAGGGCTTTTTATAGTCTAGTTCCTTAGCAGATAAAAATATGTATACGACAGAACACAGTATGACTGAAATGTAAGAAGAAACTATCATTTGTTAAACTATTACCCTAACAAAATTATTTTTCAGCTGTCCCTTCTGCCCGTTCCCATATGCATATTTTAGTGTGTAACTGTACATCTTACATGTGTCACATGAAGAGCAGCTGTGTTATAATTGAATGTCTTTCCCTCTGATTTTTACTTCTTCAGGTTTCTCTCAACTCTTGTACTATGACCTAGGACAATTTTTCCAAGAGGCATTACCAGGTGAAATGCTACTGCTCTCTGCCACTGTTTTTTACAACAGCATATGCAGATGTGATATCATATGCAGATGTATTACCAAAAGCTTTTTGCTGTTTTAATGTCAATCAAGCTCAACCAAAGCTTTAATGCAATTATGAGGAATGTTGCTGAATAGGTTGCTACTTAATTCTTAGTAAATATAGTCTCTCATTTAAGTTTTTGGCCATAATCATTAAGCTCCCAATTCTCAATATTATTTGCTAATAAAATCAAATCAATTGCTTATATCTGGTTAAACTTAAAAATGGTAGTTATATTTATCTTCCTTGATTACTTTAGAGAAGTTTAAGCCCAACAAAATCATTATAGCTTTCTTACATTTTTTGATACAACAAAATCTCTTATACTTCTAAAATACATTTTCTTTCTAACAGCAATATACTATTTCTAAATTTTTGTTTAATATGAAAATTAACTTCCTTTTAGATAAAAATGATAAACACTGATTAATACTTTCATTTCAAAGTTGTTTTAAGGTAATTTTACAAAATTACCTAAGCTTATAATCATTTTATAATACTTCCATTTCAAAGTTGTTTTAAGGTAATTTTACAAAATTACCTAAGCTTATAATCATTTTAATGAAGGAATTTATTGACTCTTTTCCTTCTAATGCATACTAAACTTATTTTTCATTAAAAAATATTTAGCCCAGCAGGGTGGTTCATGCCTGTAATCCTAGCTACTTAGTAGGCTGAGATTAGAGGATCTCAGAAATGTCCATAGACTCTTATTTCCAAACTACCATCCTCCTTCCCCTCAAAACACAAGAAGTCGTGCTACGGCTCAAGTGCTAGTCTTGAGCACAAAAGCTCAGAGACAGTGCCCAGGCCATGAGTTCATGTCCAACACACACACAGACACACACACACACAGACACACACACACACAGACACAGACACACACACACACACACACACACACACACACACACACACACACACACACACACACACACTTAATGCTCCAGATTGCTTTGTCAGAACCTTTTCCATTTGAAATTAGTTAACATACATACAAAAATCTATCAAGTAAGGTGAGGCAAATTTGGAGACAAGATCTCAAGCACGTAGCTACCCCTGGCTGGCTTCAAGCTCCAGATCTTTCTACTTCTGCCTCTTGAGTGCTGGAGGTAGAGGCACTGTGGTGAGTTTAGAAAACACTACTGAAATGAATTTATTATCTCCATACATACGGGAAAATAATAACAATGGTCTTCAGAAAAGAAGCCATCTTATAGGTGAATTTACATAAAGATTCTTAAATTATGGTGTCCTCTTAGTTACTCTGAATAAAGTAATATTTTGAGAGATACCTTAACCTTAAACAACCTCAATGGTACTGTTCATGTGGGCATGCAGAAAAAAAGGGACGCGAATTATAATATAACTTTAGCAAACCTTCTTAGTGGCAGAACCAGTCACTTATGTAGTTAAGTTATAGCAATCATATAACCTATACCACAAAAAAACAAAAACAAAAACAAAAACAACATGACAGCTCTAATGAATTCACAGATTTAATAGGAACCTGGCTGGATTCAAAAGTGCCATCCCTCAAAAAAAAATAAAAAAGTGCCATAGTTCAAACAACTTAGATATAGCATGATGAGAACAGGAAAACTACTAGATAACTTTGTTCTAAGACAACAAAGTCAATGATATGAGTCATGTGAAGTGTTTCAATAAAATTAATGAGCATGAAAATAAACAATTTATAAATTATTTCATCTAACGTATCATTTTAAAAGGCAGGTAACTAAATTGAATTTTCTTACCTCCCTCTTTCCCTCCCTTCCTTCCTGATTCGTTTTTTCTTCCCCTCCCTCCCTTCTTCCCTTGTACTAGGGACTGAACTCGGCTTTAAACTTGCTAGACACTCTACCTTTTGAGACACGCCAGCCCTTTTTTAAAATATAGGATCTAAGGTTGCCTGGGCTGGCCTTGGACCACAATTCTCCAGGTTGCTGGGATTCCAGGTGTGAATCACCACATTACTGTTTTTAAGATAGGGTCTCTAGCTAACTTTTCCTAAGCTGACAATTGAATTGTGATCTCCATCTATGCCTTTGTGTAGCTGAGATTACAGACATGTATCATCACACCCAGACCCAAAATAAACACTTTAAGAACTCAAGGTGGTTTTATTTGAGGGAACGTTAATTTCAGCCTTAACTGAATACGCTTTCTTATTTACTTTATGCTAAGTCTTCAGTGGTATACTGCCAACAGCAGAAAGAAAGTCCAAATTACCAAATACACATGATCCTGGTATTATTCCAGTATTATTGAGCAGGGCTGGCAGGAAAAGTGTGGTGCTACATGTACTTCCTTGCTGTGGGAGGAAATTACTTAAATGAGGACAGCATTTTATAAAAATGTAAGAGAAGGAAATAAGGTGGTTTGTTTTTTTTTAAAGCAAGAAAAAGTTGGATTATATAAAAGCAGTAAGGTCTTCCTTAGAGCAAATATTTCAAACAGCACGATACTCCTTTAAAATCTTTGCTACATTTTTCACTCACCATCTAAATAAAATAAATGAAAAACCCATCACTTTCTCTGGAAGGCTGTGGCTATTTCTGAAACCAGCTACTTTTGTACTAAAACACCCATGGAAATTTTCAGTTTCCTAAGGTGACTGGTGTGCTTTCTTCCTGCATCTCAAAACTAGTAGCTATTAGTTTTATTTTTTTCCTGCTGTCACTCTAAGATTTCTTTAGGAGGCAAGTAGACATATGTACCTTTATCAAGACTAAGTCTACCAAGGTTATCCGAGTACTCAGCACATACTGAATTACCATCTTTATTCAATCTTCAGTTGTTCTGTCTGAGATGACACAGACATTCATAAAAACTAATACCTACTAAACACTCCCCTTGGGTCAGGCCCTTTGTAAAGTGATTTATTACATTTGCATCTTATTTACTGTAAGGAGTATTATGTTGAGCCATATGAAGCTGCCAATATTCAATCTCCCAAAAAAATCTTATTTTACTTTGCAAGTTTTAGATTTGTAGGAAAGTGATAAGAACAATACAGAGAATACCCACCTACTCTGCACCCAGTTTCTCTACTGTGAATGTCTAATATTATTAGGTGTACTCGTAAAACTGACATGTTAATAATATTGACACATTTATGGCAGTCCATGCTTAGAATTTCCTACCTTTTACCAAGTGTCCTATTTCTACTCCAAGATCTCACCCAAGAGTCCACATTATAGTTACGTCTTCTTAGTTGTTCCTCATTCATAATTACATTGTTTTTGATGGCCATGATAGTTTTGAGTACTGATCAGGTGTTTTGTTTTGTTTTTGTGCCGGTTCTGGGGTGTGAAATCAGAGTTGTCTGTCCTGGAGCTTTATTAGTCAAGGTTAGTGCTCTACCACTTGAACCACTGCCCAACTTCTGGCTTTTTGTAGCAGTTAACTGGAGTTAAGAGTCTCATGGACTTTTATGCCCATGATGATTTTGAACCGTGATCCTCAGTTATCAGCCTTCTGAGTAGCTAGAATTACACGTGTGAGCTGGCTCCTGGCTCTCTTGTCTCTTTAACATACCCCCTCCATATTATTTTGTGAGCACTTTCTTTACATTCTGGCTCTACAAGATGTCCCAGGCCCATCTTGTGTATTTCCTACCCTGATGTTACAATGGGCTATTTAAGGTTATGAGTACTGGGTTTCAACTGTTTTTAATCTACACATTCTAAACTCATAGACAAGAAAACTGAGAACTGGAGAGGTTCAGAAACTCAAAGTTGCTCAAGGTGTCCTACATCAAAATTTCTGAGTCAAACATGAGTTCTGCATAATGAGTTATAAATTTAAATTACAGGCTATGCATAAAGGACTTCAATTAATGGGGTAGAATGTCAAACAAGTCTACTTCCTCACTGGTGTTTTGCTTACTCTAAGTTCTCAGACTGATGAAACAGTAGAACATCATTATGAAGCAGCCTCTTATCAAGTAATTCACCAACTTTCAGAACAAATTCAATGTAAAAGCAAAGTAGTCATTTTTATGAGTGATTTTTAACCTACATGCATCACTCACTCACTCACTCAAATCCCAGGAGATGAGCTCAAAAACTCTATGTTTTCCCCCAAAACTCTAAGAGTGACAAATTGAGTTAGAGTTATATTACACCTGTTTTCAGAAGCTTGTAAAATACAGTAAAAAAAAAAAAAAAAAAATCACACAGTACCTTCCGGGGTAACTGCAAAGAAATACACCAATAATTAAACATCAGTGCTGAGTATTTGATATGCAACAGAGACTTACACAATTAGACCCTGGTTGAGTTTTGCTGAAAAATGTATCCCTGGTTACATATCTTTGTATGTCAATTAATCTTACCAATACAAATAAAAATTTGCTAGAATATAGATCCTCAGTGGAACTTTCTAAAATCAAGGTTCCCTTTCTACTCTTTTAGTATGTCTTTACTAACCATCTTATTAGACTAATTTTCAAGATCAAATGATCTACGGTTATAAACATCAATGAAGTTTTATGAAGATTTATGGAGCAATTTCCCTTCACATGAGAACCAAACCATATATAAAACAAAAACCAGTCAGTTTCACAACAATCATAGAAGAATTCACCCAGATCAACAGGGCTATTTCATACGTAAGGGAGCTGACATGTCTGAGAAATTAAAAGCTTTGCCTAACGTGCACTGCTAGTTAACTGATGAGACAGAACTAAGTTCTATAGTTTTAAGACTAGGTTCTTTTGCTACACTCAACTTCGTATCTGTGTATCTCCTTGTAAATCTATAATGAATAATGGATTACATGTGTGGGTGGATGGCTAGATAAGACAGATGTGCCTGTGCGTGTGTGCGTGTGTGCGCGCGCGCGTGTGTGTGTGTGCATGTGTGTGTGCACGCGCGCACCTATGTATTGCTGCTCTACCACTTGAACACACTCCCCTCTGGCATTGTGATTAATTAAGAGGGGTTCTCCGAGGCTTTTCTGGTTGAGCTAGCTTTAAATTTAATCCTTCGCATTTCAGTCTTTTGAGTGACAGATTACAGGCATGAACCACAAGTGCAGGCTAAGGATTGGCCTTTTTTTTTTCTCATCAGGAATTTGAACATATGACTAGAAATAGTATTTATTACCTTTACTACCTTTTTCACTGAATTTATGTCAGTGCCCAGTTTTGGCAAACTACTTATTTTTCTACATATTTTCTAGCCAGGCACTAGAGTTAGACACTAGAGAAACGGGTGGAAAAGACCTGCTCCTTCCTTTGGTGAGTTCTCAATCCTAAGTTCTCATCCAACATCTTCCTTAAAAGCCTCCTCTGCTTATTCTTTCTCCTCCTGCTAACAGAACAGCATTTCTAGTAGATATATGTGACTCATAAATGTGAAGTATACTAAAAATACAAACACATTTTAATTCAATATACCCCCAAATTGTTATAATTACAACAAATATTCAATCTAAAAATTACAAATTGACTATTTTATGGAATACTTAAGTCTCCAAAATCTACTGTGTAGTTTACACTTGTAACTTGTCTCAACTGAGACCATTCACATTTCAAGGGCTCAATCGTCACAAGCTGCTACAGCCTGGACTACACAAGTCTTAAAATCCTGGAGTGTCGCAGTTCTCAAGTCTTTAGATTGGCTCTTTTCTCTATTTAAATGCACACGTTAGTGAGATGAAATAGTTTCACAGCTTCAAAAGCATTTATACGCTACGGTATATCCCAAATTGATATGTGGTCCACATCTCCTCTTGCAATTTCAAATTAATTCACCCTTTGTGCTAAACAAACTCCTCTAGTAAATGTCAACTCTATTCTTCTAGCTAGTCAGGCCAAAAACCAGAATCAAGCTCAACTCCCTTCTTTCTTGTATATACAACTCACCATCTATAGCTTTAAAGTCTATCTAGACCTTTACACTTCTCACCACTTTTTCATTGCTGTTGTACATCAAGTAACCAGTATTTATTACCCAAATTATTGAAACTACTTCCTAATTTTCCAACTACTCCCTATAATCCAATAATCTATTCCTATAGGAACAAGAATTTTACAACCTAACATTCTGTTCCTCCTCAGCTTGAAAACCTTTAATGATTTCCTACCGTACCTAGAATAAAAGACAACAGCTTATAGAGATCTTCAAAAACTCTATTAGATGTGGCCCATTAATCTGACCAGATTGCCAATTACACTGTCCATCATTTATGCTGCTCCAGCTTCCTTGCTGACCCAGAATATACAGGAACACTTTTTAAGCACGACAGCTTTTCTTCTTGCCATTCCTTCTACTTGGAAGAATTCACAGGGATTAATTCCTAACTTCATGTTGGTCTTTGCTCAAGTAATCCTTATTTAAAACTGTAATACCCCTAGTTCCATCTTCTTTTTACTCTTCCTACACTCTTCTCCTCTGTTTTCTCCACAGTAGAAACTCTGGGCTGGAGGCCTGGCTCAAGTAATAGAGTACCCAAGCAAGTGAGTAGAGCTCGTGTGAAGCCGAGAGTTCAAATCCCAATGCTGGCAAAGGAAAACAAATTACAAGTAGAAAATCCAGTGTGTATTACAAAACAGTAACTCAAAATATGACCTTACTTAAAATACACAAAAAAAGTTAATGTGCAATTTAAGTGATTTTTCTAAAAAAGTTATAATCTGTGGCTCTTGGCTATAGAAAATTTAAATTAACTCAGAATGTTCAATAGGATTTATTTAAAATTTATATTGACACACATACACAATATTAAACTTCAAACTCACATACATAAATACACATATGTACTACACATATATCTGAAAAACTTCAATTAAAGAAAGGATCTTCATTTGCTCTTTATCAAATATTTGGTTTAAAAGCTGTAATAACCAGAATTAGAGAATGCAATATATTTATAAAATATGATCCTTGCCCCAAATACTGAGCATCATAGATTTCAGATGATTTGCCAACAGGGGTTACAATGTGACTGGCTAAAAGGCAAAGCTCACAGCCTTGAGTCCTCACGCCTCACGCTACACACTTCCCACTGAACTATAGTGCTTCTCAACTATGCCAACCATCGCCTCTTAACCAGGTCAATTATGCCAAATGCCCATAGCTCTAAAAAAGGAAGGAAAATGTATGCAGTTTGCTGTAATTCAACAAGAAAATCTGTATTTCAGGCAAGAGAAAACAGACATAGACATCCAACAAGCAGCATAGCATATGTATCAGAACTGTCACGGAGGTATTATAAAGAATGAGTGAAAGAATTCAGTGCAGGATGCCAAGCATGATGGTTTATATTTCATTCTTCAAATACCTAACAACTCACAGGGTTTATATGTCTTCAGAACTGTGGACAAATTTCATCTTTTCACTGATGAAAATGACGTACCTCACGTTCCATGCAGTGGTAAAGTCTGGGTTTAGAAGGAGCAGGGTGCACGTGACATCTATCAATTCTAAAATAAAGAGAACTCATATTAAAAACAAACAGTCCTGTCCTTCCATCCCTGACACCCCTTTGCTCTAGGGTTCTCTCCATCTTTTCCTCCCTCTCTCTCTCATCGCAATCATATGTATCTCATATATTATTAAGTTTTATCACAGATAACCTGTTAGAAGTTGTTAGGGACACAAAGATGTTCCTCAAGACTTTCTTCTATTCTGGTAAGTATAACTCCTTTAAATGGTAAGTACAATTCTTTTAAAAGATGATGAAACAATGTTATGTCAATAAAGGATAATCTTGTCATTCTTTTACAACATTTTGGCACTACTTTTGTAGTACCTTCAATGTCTAGCTTTCTGATTTAAGATGGGGTCTGGCTAATGTTTTGCCTGGGATGGCTTTGAACCTAGATCCTCCTGATGTTTATCTCTTGAGTAATGGGATTACAGATGTGGACCACCATGCTTAGATATAATTCTATTTAAAAAAGAATCAATGTGACAGATAAAAAACACCTGTACTTTGTTTTAGCTTACATCTTTAATTTATGTAATTTTGTTCTATTTGTAGTTCATCTACAAATACCCTACGCATAGTCACTATTTATCTGTCATAATCTTGATAAAATTCCTACATAGTCACATAAACTCCCTAAGAGTATCTATAAAAGAACTAAATCTATAAAACGTGCACATATTTTTAATTTTACTGAAACTGAAAATAATTCTACAATTAGGATTATCACTCTAGGAGCCTAATATTAAATTTGATAACCCTAAATTATATTAATTATCAATTCAATAAAGTAATAAAGACAATAGTATAACTCATGTAGCACTTTTGTGTACCAGACATACCATTAGGCACTTTGTGCACATCACTTCTTGAGTTTTCATGATCATGTTCCAAGATATTCTTATCCCACTTTATAGACAAGGAAAATCTGCATTACAAGTTTAGGGAATGTGCTCAGAGTCATCCAATTGCCACGTGACTACATTAACATCTGACTGCCTTCAACAAATGGTTATAATGTAACTGAAATGTGTGTGTACAGAAGTAAAGGAGGTATTTTCAGGATACAGGAAAAAGATAAAAACCATAGACTAAGAACAAATGTAAGTACATCACAGTGATTTTAAAAAATTCTAGTTAATATCAAAATCAATTATTTCATTTTCACAGCTTCTTAATGAGAGACATTTTTATTTTGAGCTCATGATTTCAAGACTATCAAGCATATTGTAATTTTACAAACTTGAGTACAAACAGCAGGATGAGTATACATTTTTACCTGCATTCAAGTTACAACATTACAAATTATTACATAATAAACATGGTATGTCTATAAATAACAACCTAATTAACCTCTTTATGCTCTTACTTTCAATAGTTTTCAGCAGTAATTTAACATTTGACAAGAAAAACAATATTATCTTCTTTACCACTATTCAGTGAATCCCACAAATATTTCAACTTGATAGTTGATGTTGATACAACCAGCAAAGATTAAACTTTAAAATATTAAAATTCCCCCAGAATTAAAAGAACATAATTATATACAAGTCCTGATCTTGGTCTTTATATGGTTACCCTCTATTGGAGCAACATATAAACAAATAATTCTATAAAGCAAAATGAAGTAATTATGAAGTAGAAGCATATACCACATCTTTGGAGCCTATGAAATAGGAAGCTGCAACTAATTACTACTGGAATACCCTTAGGAGATTGTAAGTAAGTCAGTAGAGAAACCACAAACCATGGAAAAGTATGACATACAGTGCATTCCCAAAGAGATCATGGCAGCAACAATGTGACTACAGCACGCAGTGCTGGGAAAATACACTAGGAGATGAAGCCTTCTCAAACCAAGTCCAGATCGCTTATCAGCCTGCCTCCCACTACTTCCATTCATGTGTTGGCTACTATCAAACCTCACTGTGCTCTAAACATACCCTCTACTGCTTGCTTTCTCTTCTCTACACATATTTCAGTTTTACCTGCTTCCTTGTCTTTCTGCCAGAAATGTCTTCCTATGTTCAAATATTAAAAAAATAATTTTAAAAAAATTAATAAGTTTTTTACTTGGTTTACATCTTCATAAAGGCTAGCTCTCTGATCTAACACAGAAGAAATCTTTTGTCTTTTTTTGTATGTACCTAACTTTCCTCCTCCCTCCCTCCCTCCCTCCCTTTCTTCCTTCCTTCCTTCCTTTTCTTTCTGCCAGTCCTGGGGCTTGAACTCAGAGCCTGGGCACTATCCCTAAGCTTCTTTTGCTCAAAGGTAGCACTCTACCACTTGAGCCACAGTGCCACTTCCAGCTTTTTCTGTTTATGTGGTGCTAAGGAACTGAATCCAGGGCTTCTTGCATTCTACCACTAAGCCATATTTCTAGCCTGAAAACTTTGCTTCTTAAATAAATATTATGTTCTTACTCAAGTAGACTATATATTAGGGAGCCAGGTCCTCCCTAATGCATTTTCAGATTGTTCATTTACTCAGCAGATTTCGTGAGCTTCTGCAACAAACAAGGTACTGAGCTGGGTGAAGATGAGTAAGTGAGGATCTCTGCACAAAAGAAATGCCAGGTGAGACTACAGTACAAATGGTGATAAAAATACAGGCTTCAGAGCCACACCCTTTGGGTTTGAATCCCAGCTTCTCCACTTACTATTAAAGACATAACTTCTTTGAATGTGTCTCCTAAGCTGTGAAATGGAGACAATGACAACTTCACAATGGTTTGAGATTATTCCATTTCTCCACAGCTATCTGACACACTGGAATTGTTTTTTTTTTTCTTCATTCTCCCAAGTTTATTTTATATTCTTTTTCCCAAGTATTTCTTTATTGCAATTACGAGATTATATACATTTCACAATACTGTGGCATAGTTATATTTAGCTAAAGTCACAAAAAATCTTTCAATCTTCACAATGCTAGTCATTATTATTATTTTTTTTTTTTTTTGCCAGTCCTGGGGTTTGAACTCAGGGCTTGGGTACTGTCACTGAGCTTCTTTTGCTCAAGGCTAGCACTCTACCACATAAGCCACAGCACCACTTCCAGCTTTTTCTATTTATGTGGTGCTGAGGAATAGAACCCAGGGGTTCACGCATGCTAGGCAAACACTTGACTACTAAGCCACATTCCCAGCCCAGTCATTATTATCTTAATCTACATTGCTTATGAACTCTATAACTGTTATTATTAAATAAGTTGTTAAAAAATTGTTCAACTAAAACTACAGCTAATTAACAAGTAAGAAGTATTTTCATCTTTAATCAAAGAGGTTCTTCTTATAGTGAAACTGTCTAAATGTATAAACCTCAAAAATGAGGGCAGCTTTGTACATGATGAGAGAGCTATGGGATTTTTTGATGTAATTTTCAAAAAGCTGCTATACTACTTGTGTAAACTGGTACTTATGTCACTTGGATTCTCCTTTTCTATATTAACTGGTAATTTCTTTATACTTTATGTACTTTTTTTTCCTTGCTAATTCTGGAGCTGAATTTAGTGCTTCATATTCTTACTTTGTTTGCCTACGCATGGTTGGTGCTCTACCACTTGAGCTAGTCCAGTATTTTGCTGGCTAACCAGAGACAGTGTTGCAGACTTCTGTCTGGGCTGGCTTTGAATTGAGATCCTCTTGATTCAGCCTCCTGAGTAGCTAGGATTACAAGCAAGAGCTCTTGGTGTCCGGCTTGTTTATGCTTTTAACAAAACTCTCCTCTCTACTCCTGACAAGTGGAAACAAACTCATTTCCATGAGAAACTTCAGCATAGCAGCAGTAGGCCATTACTATAGCAGACTTACTAAATAAACATGTGTTTGAAACATTTAAGAAGCCATAGCTTTGTTAAGAAGTTAAAAAAAAAAGGTAAGTGTTGGTAGCTCACACCAATAATCCTAAAAATTAAGGTTTGAGGCCAATATGGGGAGAAAAATCGACAAGACCTTTTTAAAAAAAAAAAAATAACCGGGCTGGGAAGGTGGCTCAGTGGTGGAGTGCTTGCCTTGCATGCATGAGGCCCTGGGTTCGATTCCTCAGTACCACATAAGCAAAAAGAAAAAAGCCGGAAGTGGTGCTGTGGCTCAAGTGCTGTAGAGTGCTAGCCTTGAGCTGAAGAGCTGAGGAACAGCGCCCAGGCCCAGAGTTCAGGCCCCAAGACCGGACCCAAAAAAACCAAAAATAACCAACAAAAATGAGGGCTTTAATTGGTACAAGTAACAGAGTGCCAGCTGGGAAAAACAAGCTGAACATGTAAAAGACCCTAAGTTTAAGTTCTATTCTAAAAGAAAAAGGTCACCTTGAGTTATAGAATACATTATTAGGATTTTGGCATGATCAAACATGTAGACACTGACATTCTGAACTATTTTTTAAATTGTCAGCTACCTATTCTTGGCTGTAGGAAACTAGGATTACAGGTATGAGCTACAAGTACCTGGTTACACTTGTAATACTACACTTGTAGTACTATCTACAGTTTTAAAGGAAGAACATTTTCATTCAATAATTTCTTTTAGAGATGGAGTCTCATAGACTTTTCTGCTCAGGCTGGCTTCGTAGCATGATCCTCAGACTCATGAGTAGCTAGGATTACAGGTGTGAACCATTCACATCTAGAATAAAACAACTTCTTTTTCTCAGGAATCTTGACTTTTTTTCCCTTTCTTTAGCGAGATTGACCTCTGTGTTCTAACTGCTTTCATTCATAAGTTTGACACAATAGCATTATATTAAGCCAGCATTTTCAGATATCTTTTTCCATCAAATCAAAAAGTTGGACAGAAATACTGATAGTATACAATGTGAGTAGGGTACAACACCAAATATTATAGATTACTATGCTTTTTCCAACCTTATGGATTGAGAGGTTCTGTGAGTCTTCCTAGAGTTTTCAAGACTAAACTGTATGAATAAGGAGAGGGAGCAAAGCTTCAAATACAGTGCCTAGAAGCACGAGAAACAGAAATGGAGAGAGGACTTGGAGGGTCACTGGAAGAGGGTGGGTGGGGCTGGCATACATGAATGGGCAAAGCTAGTGTTCGGAAACAATTACAGGTTTTGACTTTAAAAATTCCTATTGTTTCCTCTCTGCAAAATCATCATTCTACCCCTGCTTCACTTTTGTATGTACGACTCCATTTCAAATCTATGTGTATCTGAATACAAATATAGCTTTATTTGGCAAAAACTAATTTGATGAATTCATATGTCTAAATTTCTACCTCAATGTTCTAAAACATGGTGATAAATTAAAGGTAGTCTAGCAGAAGATAAATACCCTTATACTTTAGATTAGACTTAAACCTAATACCTTAAAGGTCAAGCCATAAAAGGTCATGCCATTTATGACACGTTTAGGTATAGTCTTCTATACCTAAATGCATGTATCAGATGACTTAACAAGTGAGACAATCACACCGAAAATATTGTCACTGCCTCTTCAAATCAGGTGTTTTAGTGAGCTAAACAAGAAAAGGTGCTATCAATCTATGAAGATAGGCTATTAAGGACAGTATTAAGGTATTCAGGAAGTCAGTATGTATGTAGTACCTTCAGCAATACTCTTCTTCCTGTTTCCTACCCCCAAAGACATTGTCACTCAACTGTAAACTTCACTCATCTTTTAACCCCCACAGTACTCAGAACAGCTTCTGGTCTGATGAGGCCCTTGGTAATGGCTCTCAAACTAGTAGTTAAAATTCTCTAGGAAACAAAGTTCTTGTTCAAAAATCAGTCCACCAGCATACTAGGCACTTCTGAAGGTATGTCGAAAAAGAAAGAAGCTTTATGAAAACAAGGGAGGACACGATTTTACGTAAGCACTCCCCCCGAAAGATAGTAAAGAACAAACGTAATTTGTCTACATAAAGGCTTAATTTGGGGAAATACTAAGAAAAAAAAAAAAAGATGAGGGGAAAAAAAAAAGCCGGAGAGAAACTTGCCAGCTATTTGCATTTAGAGGGAATAAAAAGTTATAAGAATATAAAGCTTTGAGGGTGGAGGGAGAATAAAACAAGTAGGGTATAGAAACACAAGACCCAGTCACAAGTCCAGAATCCTAATTACGTCTCCATTCTACACTGACAGCCATGTGAAAATGAAACACAGGGCTAATAAGAGATTATTAGCTGCAGTAAAGAGCTGACTCAGAGAAAAAGGAATTGTTGGGCTGTTTTGTTTTTAGTTTTCCTTTTTTCATTTCAGCATAGAAAAGAGATTCCGAAGACGGGAGTTTGCTTGGGTTTCAGAGAGAACTGGCATGTTCATAAATCATCAGATGAGCTCACAGTGTAACTACTTCAACCACACCTCCAGCATCTCCTTTGGACTGCTACATAAACAAGTGCTATTGCCCACAGAACGTTAAATGCGATCAGAGATCAGTGACTTAGGCTGACAGGGAATGTATTCTTCGGTGGTACTCAAATATGTTGAAAGCCATAGGACATGATCTTTAAATAAAGTCTTGCAAATTGCCTCACTACATTACTAACAGGTGGAATCAGAATGGCTCTGGTTGCAGGAGCTGGCCTGGAATCCTGCCTGCGGCATTTTTTATATAATACTGTAGTTGCAAATTTTGAAAACTAATGATCTGGTAGAAACCCCTCGCTTTCACAGAGGTTAAGCAGCTGCCCAGGAAGGGAGGGGAATGGCCCAAACCAGAAGCCAGGAATGCCAACACCCCGAGGGCTCTTCCCACTCTTTTCCACGGACCTAGGAGGAAGCTGAGGAGGAGGAGAAGGTGGTTACTCACCGTCTTTGTTTAGCCACTGCTTTCTTGTTCTGTATAAAAGGAGCTTGTTGTGGACGTAGGGTAAAAGGAACTTGACACACCAACTCTCCACACCGAGTTTGTTTTCAACCAGGACTATGGGACTCCGGTTATATCTTGCTTCAGGACATGGGATCAGGCCAATTTCATCTCTTAATATATAAAACATAAAGAAGATTTGAAGATAATTCTGGCCTTGTCACAATTTCTCTAATTCCAGAGTATTTTTAAAGATCCACGCTATTTCTCTAAAAAACATGGCTGAGAATTTCAGCTCACCTCCTGCGGTGTTAGAAATGAAAAACGAACATAAGCCAAACAAACAGGTTTGTTGGTAATGGCAAGGGAACTGGGAAACCACTATGCTTTACTATACTTTATTCATAAATGACAAACCTTATCTTTGGATGGCAATTTCAAAACGCCATTCAACATTTTAAATTCATATACCCTTTGACGTAGCAATAAATGGGACATAGTATAAGTAGTTAACAATGTAAGACTGGTTGGTAAAAAAGAAGTTTAGCCCACCTGTGTGACACACATTTTTTTTGGGGGGGGTGTTCCAGTCGTGGGGCCTGGGCGCTGTCCCAAAGCTCTTCAGCTCAAGGCTAGCACTCTACCACTTGAGCCACAGCACCACTTCCGGCTTTTTTCTTATGTGGTGCTGAGGAATTGAACCCAGGGCCTCAGGCATGCAAGACAAGTGCTCTACCACTGAGCCACCTTCCCAACCTCACATAGATGTTTTTTAAAAAAAAAATTACTGAGAGCCTGGCGCCAGTGGCTTACTCCTGTAATCCTAGCTACTCAGGAGGCTGAGATCTGAGGATCTCAAAGCCATACCAGGCAGTAAAGTCTGTGAGACTTTTATCTCCAATAAACCACCAGAAAACGGGAAGTAGTGCTGTGGCTCAAATGGTAGAGCTCTTGCCTTGAGCTAAAGAGCTGAGGGACAGCGCCCACCCAGACCCAGAGTTCTAGCCCCATGAGCGACAAAAAGAAAAAATTACTCAGAGCAAATAACTCAGAGCCAGGTACTGGTGGATCACACCTATAATCCTAGCTGAGAAGGCAAAGTAAGGTCTAAGGATCATAGCTCGAGGCCGGTCCAGTCAAGAAAGTCCATGAGACTCTTGTTCCCAATTAATCACCAAAAAAGCCAGAAATGGAACTGTGGCTCAGGTGGTAGAATACTAGCCTTGAACTAAAAAGCTCAGGGACAAAGCCTAGACCCTGAGTTCAAGCCCCTAGAACCAGCACATGCACACACAAGCGTGTGTGAATACACACTTTGCCATTCTAGTTTATAAAGATCTGTAAGAGGAATGTGGAGAATGCTGGGCAAACATCTGGACAATGACTAGTATTTCAAAGTATGTTTTTGTACTTATATTTGGTGAGGCTAACCTGAAATCTAACTCATTAGGACACATATGATAAGTACATACCGGTACTTTCTAGTGTTCAGAGTGTTAGCATCTAAAGTAGAGCACTACAAAAGTAGCTAAAAATAGTTTTATAATTCAGTCTATGATTCTGTTGTCTGAGATCTAATAACTACTTAGAACACTTCAAAAAACTAAGAGCTAAAAATTTAAATGTTATAGTAACAAGAATAAAAGGATTCTGGCTTCTGAGTATAATCTTTTTTGGGAAAGTTTTTGCTGTTGTTCTGTTTTTTATACTTAAATCCACAGTGTAAAAGCTGTCATGTTCACTAGTTGTACTGGGAATAAAATGTCCAAGTACTAATTTGGTATCTAAATTACGGGACAAAGCCATCTGTACAATTAAAGCAAAAAACAAAAAACAAAACCTATCCCTATTCCAAGGATAAGCATAAATTACTAAATAAACACTTCCTAAAAGGCTGATTATCCTTATACTTCAGCGAGATTTAAATAGTTTCCAAAGGCTACAACTTCTAAACCTTACAAAAGAGCATTACCTCTGATTTTCTTCTACTACAGTGTTCTGAAAACAGCCTGGACCATCCATCTATCACTCTGGGCTCTACAGACCTCAGTTTTCTCAGCTGTAAAATGGTGGGACTACATTATCTCTAGTAAAGGAAACGGGCAAAAGCTCATCCAGATTTCAAATGCTATGACAGAGAGAAACTTGCCAGCTATTTACATGTAGGGGGAATAAAAAGTTATAAAAAATATAAAGCTTTGGAGGGGGGACATGAAAATAAAACTAGTAGGGTAAACACAAGACTGTCAAAAGTCCAGAACTGTAATTAAGTCTCCATTCTACTACTGACAGTGTATGTGAAAATGAAACATAGGACTAGTAATAATTTTCCTGTTCATTATAAAAACCCAACATGTGGAGAATGTGGTAAATTATGAAATGCTAGACAAAGATGAACAACTGTACTGTCATTTTTTTAAGAGCCTGAGATCAGTTAGTAAAGCTCCTTGGTTAACAGGCAAAGGGAAGCAGAGGTAAAGAATGTTAAGCCTTTGTTATTTGAGCCTGAAGACACATAATGTATTGCTGCTTCCTAAAGACATAGCCTTGATTTTGTAAAGACACATTGTGTCACTAAGCTTCCGAAGTAAATACTTTCGACTTCAGATCTCTGTGAGCGTCCCTTAGGTCAGAGTCTACTCTGTGTGTGTGTGTGTGTGTGTGTGTGTGTGTGTGTGTGTGTGTGTGCGCGCGCACGTGCGCGTGCGTGCGTGTGTTTGTGTGTGTCCTGTGGCTTCAACTCAAGGCCTGGCCAAGTGCTCTAACCACTTGAGACAGGTGTGTGTGTGTGTGTGTGTGTGTGTGTGTGTGTGTGTGTGTGTCCTGTGGCTTCAACTCAAGGCCTGGCCAAGTGCTCTAACCACTTGAGACAGGTGTGTGTGTGTGTGTGTGTGTGTGTGTGTGTGTGTGTGTGTGTGTGTGTGTGTGTCCTGTGGCTTCAACTCAAGGCCTGGCCAAGTGTGTGTGTGTGTGTGTGTGTGTGTGTGTGTGTGTGTGTGTGTGTGTGTCCTGTAGCTTCAACTCAAGGCCTGGCCAAGTGCTCTAACCACTTGAGACACAGCTCCACTTGTGGCTTTTTGGTGGTTAATTGGAGATAAGACTCTCACGGCTTCTAACCTCTATCCTCAGATCTCAGACTCCTCAGTAGCTAGGATTATAGGCATGAGCTGATGGTGGCTGACTATGGTCCACTTTTTTCCCAGACCATTTAAAATAGTATTCCAGAATCATTTAAAAAACTGCATGGAACTCAATTCTCTTCTGTCATTTTATAGGATGAGGAAACTGAGATCTAATGATGCAAACAAGTTAGCTAAGGTCATATAACTACTAGCTAAGAACCTAGAGCCTCCAGATACTTAATCTAAAACCTTAGACATAGAATGAAAAAAACAAAACAGTATTTAGACCAATTCTTCCTAGATTTCTGGCAGCTTAAATTCTAATTTCATACTCAAGATGAGGTGGAAAACTCAGGGGGAAAAAATACAAACTAAAAGCTATTTGTCATTTTTCTGTCACTATTAAGGCTTGGGTATACATCTCTCCCCACCCCTGCAAGTATCTTATAAAGTATGTGATTATATTGGATATAATCCTTTTTTGGTTCTTTGCAAAATCTGATAATTCTTATTGTTTTCCTACATAATTAAATGGTATTTTAATGAGCACAATGATTATGTGATGCATACCAAATATATGTCTAAGTATTTCTTCACAAAAGTCTTGTAAAAAAAAATTAATGATATGGGCTGGGAATGTGGTTTAGTGGCAGGGTGCTTGCCTAGTATGCATGAAGCCCTGGGTTCGATTCCTCAGCACCACATACACAGAAAAAGCTGGAAATGGCACTGTGGCTCATGTGGTAGAGTCCCAGCCTTGAGCAAGAAGAACCTCAGGGACAGTGCCCAGGCCCTGAGTTCAAGCCTCAGGACTGGCAATAAATAAATAATGACCTTTTCACCACCATTAAATTTTGTTGTTTAACATGTAGGTTTCTAGCCCTTTAGATTCCTGGTATTACCAAAATGCTCAAGTAAATAGTTTCTACAATATCAAGGACACAGGATTTTTTTTTTTTTTTTTTTGTCAGTTGTGGGGCTCAAACGCTGGGCCTGGGTGCTGTCCCTCAGCTCTTCAGCTCAAGGCTAATGCTCTACCACTTGCTCTACCACAGCATCACTTCGAGTTTTCTGATGGTTAATTGGAGATAAAGAGTCTCACAGACTTTCCTGCCCGGGCTGGATTTGAACCACCATCCTCAGATCTCAGCCTCCTAAGTAGCTAGGATTATAGGTGTGAGCCACTGGTGCCAGGCTAGGATTATTTATTTATTTATTTTTGCCAATCCTGGGGACTGAACTCAGGGCCTGGACACTGTCCCTGAGCCTGTCTGCTAAAGGCTAGCACTTTACCACTTGAGCCACAGCAAGCCACTTCCAGCCTTTTCTGTTTATGTGGTACTGAGGAATCGAACACAGCGCTTCATGCATGCTAGGCAAGCGCTCTACCACTAAGCCACATTCCTAGCCTGAGCACAGGACTTTTAAAGATGGGGGAAGTTTGGGATATTGAGCAAGTTCCATTCCTCAGAAAGACATAATGTAAAATGCTCACTATTTAGATTACCTTCAAAAGGCACTCCAAAGACATACAACAAGGAATGAATAAGTGAGTTTACTTAATAAGAATACACAATAAAACTCAGTTCTTGGAATCCCTCAGTTTTTAATGGCGGTCCATTGAAGTTCAGGGTTCATATAAAATAATGACATGTCTAGCAAGCTTCTCTTGGTTGTGTCTTGTGGAAACATCAATCTGCAAGTAAATCCTCTTTCTATTCATAAAAGTATCATCAACCATCCTTTTAGGAGAGGTAGATGTCCCAAATACTGAAGCCTGTCATGTGGAAACTGAATTAAAAAAAAAAAAGTCCAAGGATTCATAAACTAGTACAGATATTTTTAACCTAATAGTTGTTTTTGCTAGCTTACCCCCCACTTCAAAACTGGAAATTCTCTCTAGAATGATTTTTAAAAAAGGAATGTTAGTAAAATATCTAAAGGAATTAGCTCTTGTTAACAAGAGTTCAATGACCTACCATGCTTTCTCATTAATTTTAAAGATAACTTTGTATATTACTGACTTTAGAGAACAGCTACACAAATTACAATTTGTTTTTTATATGCTATCCTGTTAGTTTAATATACATTATTTCATTTATTATGAACAATAGGCTTCTACAGAAAAAAAAATTTAGCCCCTTTTAGAGATGAGGAAACAGTTTTGTCTAGGTCTATCCAGCTAGTAAGTAAAAAGACAAGGTTCAAATTCAGGACTCAAATTCTAAATCCAAACTCTATAACTATACATTATTTAAATAAAAATCAGGCAAAAAGATAATTATTAAACTCTCTGATTTTCTATTCCTCAATTCAATTTGAAGACAATTTAAAACTGCCTTTCATTACTACTCTTCTACTCAAAAACATTCCCTCAGCCCTCATACAGCTTAAAAAGCCTATTTTCCTTGAACTATTTTTACATTTCAATCTAAATGCTAGTTCCTCAGAAAGAACTATATTGACCATCTAATCTAATAAGGTTTTCCTGTTAATATTCTTTCAAGATACCCTTTTCACCCTCTCTACCTCTGTACAACCTGTACGATTGGTTTAAAGTTCCATTAGGATAGGGACCAGGTACCACTCAACTAGCGGTGTTCTTTGGCCGAAGGTTTAAATGGGTTAAGGAGATGAAGCCGGTCAATGACTTCTATAATCTGTCCAATGGCATCTCTTCACTCACATTCCGCTTTGGGTGGATTCATTGCTCCTAGTGGAGGTCTCTATCTCCCTGACACTGTAAATCCTAGGCTTCAGTGTTCAGCTTAAAACCCGCATCCCCAAGATTTCTGACCCAGAAGTATCCAGCTTCCCCTGTACTTCTAATAGACTCACTTACCTATCATACTACTAATATAACCTTTACTATAAACTGAATTGCAGGGTTAATTTACTGTTTGTGCACATAGATAGATCTTGGTCTCCATTTTAGACTCACACCATGAAAAACAGTAATCACTGGGCACATGGTACCATTATATATAAATCAGAATTAAATTTAAGATTCATTCCTCACATTAGGCAAATTTCAAGTGCTCAATGTGGCTTTTCCAACAGATACAGAACAATTCCATCATTGAGAAAATTTCTGTATCTTCCATATGAAAATCGTATTGTGTACTTCTTCCTGTCCCATATATTGAAATTGGTACTTCACAGTGAGAGGCAGCCAATTAAGTAAAAGCAGTGATAACTTGCCCTAATTAACATGACCCTAATTACACTATAGATAGTTGTTTTCCACATGAACACAGGGTCTATACTTTATGCTAATACCTTACCCTGGGCCAAGCCTTCAGCTGTAGAGAATCCATTGCCATTCGGAGTCACTCATACAAACAACGTCTGTATGGAACTTATATGAAAGTGCTTCACACTGATCTTTCATTGGATCAATGTATTTTGGGCAGGTGACAGAGGGATTACTTAGCAATAACAAGTGCCATTGTGATTCTCTTGTTCTCATTAGCCTTACAAGATCAAGAGGAATCTAAGGCTGAGAGGGGATTCCACATCAACAGTAACAGAATCTACATCTTGCTTAGTGCATCATTGACTGGCTTTGGCTAGCTATTCTACAAAGACATATATATTCAAGGGAGTAGATGTTAGCAAAAAAAAAAAATCAGTCTATCTCATGATGGGGAAGATGGAAAACAATCATTAAATAATGAAACCTTTTATAATACTGTAATTAGGTTCTAAGTATAAAGGTAAGCATGCCTCATTAAAAAAAAAAACTAGGACTGTAGCCTTCTTTTTCTGAGACTATGTGACATGCTCAACTCTTCTTAAACTTTTAAATCTTGCCTGACCCAAATGCCTACTAACAGTTATATAAATTAAGTATTCAAAGGAGCATATTAATGAGATTTCACAGTAAAAGTCTGAGGAAGGGAAGGACATTAAAGCCTTAGGAGTTTTGATAAATGTGAGCCAGAACTAGGGCATGTTCCACCGGGTACTGTGTCAACCTGCCAAACCAATTAACACCCAATCTCAATTTCTTCAAATAGAAAATAATGACATTCTTTTAAGTGTCCTTTCAGTGTCATTATTTTAGTGTCACTGTCTTTCAGAGAAACTAAGGTGATTCGTATGTTAAGAGTTCTAACCTCTGCTATAATTTCTGCTAGAAAAAATTACACCAGTGATGAAAAAAAAACCAGTTCTTCATTTGCTCAATGTTTTTTTTTTCTTTTCTAAAGGATGACTCTTATTTGTACTGATGCTCTCATCCTCAAAAGTCTTGAAAGACTGATACACAAGGCATCAAAGCATTCTTTAAAAGGCTCAGCAACCACTCTGGCTACCGCCAGGAAATCATTCCAAACAGGCTCATTCTGTAAAAGGCGGCAGTCAGGAGGGAGACAGGAAGTGGCACTGTCAGAGCGAGGTGGCAAGGTGTGCTGTGAGGCCCAGCAGTGTTTTGCGTTTAAAGAGGCTCAGTGCAAGTCTCCGATCGTGTGCCACAAGGGAGCAAGGCCGTTGAGGGCTTCTGAATTCTTTTATAACAGCATCACCTTGGGGGTGGGAGGAGAAACACCCCACACTTTGTTAAGATGTAGGGTTCTGGCACATCTTTTTAGGCGGAAAAGTGAACGGGACTGGAATGCTTAAAAAGAGTGATTCCAGTGTTCCAGTTTTCAGGACAAAAAAGCTTGCAAATAAACCCCATAAATGACGTGAAAACCAAGCAGCACTGGGACCCAGGTCCCCAGCCTCAGAAGAGGAGGCAGGGGAGAGGAGCTACACTGTGGCTGCCGCTGCTTCTTTTTAAATCCTTTTGGACAATGTTGCCGGGATCGCTCGCCATAGCTTCCGCTTTTCTTTTTCTTTTCTGGTTTAACTCCATTCATTAAGGTGTCCGGGAGCGCACCGTCGGCGGGCTCAAGCTTTCTAACATCCAAAGCAGGGGAGAAGGCCGGGCGAGGTGCAGCCCGAGCCGGGTCGGGCGGCGGGTGTCAGAGGGCCGGGCCGGGCCCGCCGGGGATGACAGGTGTCAACACGTCCCCGGGCCGCGGCGACTCAGCGCGGGACCCAGACCCGCCCCGCCCCGCCCGCAGGCGGAGACTGTGCTCCCGGGCAGGTCCTCGGTTCACCTCCCGGGGGACGCGGGGAAAAGGCAACCCCTCAAACTTACTTTGGGACCCTCGGGGGGGGGGGTCTGGGCTCGGGGGGGGGGGATCAGGACCTGGGGGGGGGATCGGGACCGGGGGGGATCGGGACCCGGGGGGGATCGGGGCCCGGGGGGGGGGGATCGAGACCCGGAGGGGGGGGATCGGGACCTGGGGAGGGGATCGGGACTCGGGGGAGGGGATCGGGACCCGGGGGGGGATCGGGACCTGGGGGGGATGTCGGGACCTGAGGGGGTATCGGGGCCCGGGGGGGGGATCGGGACCCGGGGGGGTATCGGGGCCCGAGGGGGGGAATCGGGACCCGGGGGGGGGATCGGGACCCGGGGGGGTATGGGGGCCCGGGGGGGAATCGGGACCCGGGGGGGATCGGGACCCGGGGGGGGATCGGGACCCGGGGGGGGATCGGGACCCGGGGGGGTCGAGGTCCGGGGGGGGATCGGGGTCCGGGGGGGTATCGGGGCCCGGGGGGGGAATCGGGACCCGGGGGGGGATCGGGACCCGGGGGGGTATCGGGGCCCGGGGGGGTATGGGGGCCCGGGGGGGGAATCGGGACCCGGGGGGGATCGGGACCCGGGGGGGGGGGTCGAGGTCCGGGGGGGAAATCGGGGTCCGGGGGGGCGGCCCGGGTGCAAAGCTGTGTTCCCACACACACAGACCCCAGACCCACACCGCCCGCCGCGGGTCCCACCACCACCCGGGCGGGGGGGGGGGGGGGTTGGTGGGAGTTTCGAGAACTCCTCGCGAAGGGACGAGGAGGGCGAGGGCGACACATGCACACGTCGGACGGAAGCATCGGCGTCGCGGGTGGGAGGCTGGAGGCGCCCCGGTAATAACAGACCCCCCCACCCCCCCACCCCGGGCCGCGGCCCGCCCGACCCCGCGCAGCCGCGCGCGGAGACAGGCCGGTGCGGGCCGGGGTCACCCGAGGTCAGCCGGAGCTCGGCCCCCGCCCCGCCCGCCCGGCCGCCCCGACGGACCCCGGAGGCCGAGCCCGGGGCGCGCGGCTCCCACTCACATGTGCGGGTTCCTGCGGAAGGCGTTGGTGATGTCCTTCACCACCCTCTGCACCAGCACCGCCACCTCCTCGCTCGTCTCGGCCATGTTAGTGGCGGCCGCGGAGGGAGGCCGGGGCGCGCCGCGGGGACAGCCGTGCCGCCGGCGGGAGTTCCGCGGGGGAGGGGGACGGGGAGCTGGGGGGGGGGGAGGGAGGGAAGGGCGCGCGCGCGCGCACGTGCGTGCGTGCGTACGCTGCTAGGGGAGGGCGCGTGGCCGCCGCGGCCGCCGAGCACTTCCGGGTCGGGTCAGCCCCGCGGCGGCTGGCCTGTGAGTGTCCTGTCCGGTCCCGCCGGGCCTTCAAGGAGTCGTCCCTCCCGGCTTCCCGCGTCGGAAGTCGCTGCGGATGGGTTTGCGGCGTTATCCTGTCTGTCTGTCTGTGTCTGTCTGTCCGTCCTGGAGCTTGAACTCGGGGCCCTGACCCTTGAGCCACAGGCTACTTGGTAGTTAACTCACGGACTCCTGCCCCGGCTGGTTTCGAACCGCGATCCTCAGATCTCAGCCTCCTGCGTGGTTAGAACGACATGCCCGAGCCACCCTCTCCTGGCTGGTTTCCTTCCACTGTTGAGTCCATTCAACCAGAGAGGCTGCGGTTGAGCCTGACACCCGCGCGGGCCCCAGCTGGGCCCCGCCCGTGCAGGCAGGTAACTGCCCCAGGACACGCCCGATGGTCCCCGGGCCTTTGCACGGCCCCCTGACCCGAGGCCCCTAACAGGAATGAGATCCACTGGCGTCCTGGTGGCTGGAGTTCCTATTTGACCCTGCGGGCTGCCCTCCTTTTGAACCTGCATGCGAATTTGGGGCCTCTGACATGGAAAGCAGTCCTTTTAAAATAGATAAGAAAGTGTAGTGCATTCAAGAAAGGGAAAGTTGCCCTCTGCATCTAGGGAGTGGAAGGGAACTGGGAGGTTTTTAATTCTTGTTTTTGGTTTATTCTTTCATGATTTTTAACTTTGTTTTGCTATCGTTTACTGAACGCTGTTTCAGTTTTGAAGCAAATTAAAATCAAGGCCCTGATGCAGTTTGCTCATAAGATACACTTATTTTTCTACCAATAATTATTGTCAGGGGGAGAACTCTAGTGTATTCGGATTTTGCAATGCAATAATTAATATTTTTATATAAAGGTGGGTTATTTTTTTGCCCGTCAGAAAATTTTAAGTCTCTCCTTAAGTTCTCCCCCTCACGTTTGAAATCTTTATCTTTTAAAAGTTGTTTTTTTGTTTGTTTTTGTTTCTTTTGGTCGTGGGGCCTGAACTCTGGGCCTGGGCACTGTCCCTCAGCTCTTCAGCTCAATGCTAGCGTTGAGCCACAGCACCACTTCCACCTTTTTTTGCTTATGTGGTGCTGAGGAATCGAACCCAGGGTGTCATGCATGCAAGGCAAGCACTCTACCACTGAACCATCTTCCTTAAAAGTTCTGCTTTTAAAGCAGGTTCGCAGTGTGTTTAATATGAATATTATGTGAAGCATGTGAAATACAATATATGTGAAAGTAAAAAACACTAGATTTAAAATTAATTGAGAAACATCAACTACATATACGCAGTGGTTGATATTCCCAGTGGGTATGCCTTAAAGGCTGTTAGGGGCCCTCTTTTTTTTGTTTTGTTTTGTTTGTCCGTTGTGGGGCTTGAACTCTGGGTCTGGGCGCTGTCCCTCAGCTCCAGCTCAAGGTGAGTGTTCTACCATTTGAGCCACAGCAACACTTTCAGTTTTCTGAGTGGTTTATTGGAGATAAGAGTCTCTCAGACTTTCCTTGCCCCGGCTGGCTTGACCTTCTTGTTTTTAAAAAACAAGGTAGATATTCAACAGAATTATAGAAAGCAAGATGGAACAGTTTTAAGAAAAAAATGAAATCAAACCTTACCTATGGCAAGTTGTGGCATAAAATAGTAAAAAGACTAGAATGTGTATTTAATTTCAAGTTCAATGGCAACTTCAAATATATCATGGTTACAGTTCTCCAATGGCTTGAGTTGGCTGAGTAAGTCTTCCTCTTAATCCAGACCCTGCCTTGTATCCTAGTAGCAATGGGGAAAAAATCCTGACTTCTGGGGGCAAAGCTCAAAGCAATCTTCTTAGAAATATGAATTTCTCCCCCCCAAGGGTCTTATTTATATCTTAAAAATAGTCATATTTCACTCTCATTTATTTGTGTTTAATAGGAGAAATCCATACTTGGTCTGAAAATCTCTAATAAAATTAGTATTCTAGAAAATATTTTTCCTGTATGGTTGTCTATGTGTCCTACATCTCCCCCCCTTCTTCCCTGCCCCTGGACCTTTTTACACTCATTTGAAAGCTGTGAATTATATGTCTCCCGTTCCTAAGATTCAGCTCAATTTTACAGGTGAAAAGAAGTTTAAGATGAAAATTTAAGAGCTCTTTAATGACAAGAATAGGGCATGATATACACAGGTTGTCTGCCACTTTTGTCCAAAAAAAATAAGCATACTCATGTTTATTGCAAAATTGTTTCTAATATCAGTAATAAACCGTCTAAGACAAAATCAGGAAAACAATCCCAATCATAATAGTTTTTTTAATATATAAATTTAAGGACTCTACAACAAACGTTATAAAACACTGAAGATGTTTAAGAAGAAAATAGAAGATGGAAAGACCTCTCATGTTCATGGACTGGCAGAATTAATATTGTGAAAATGGCTATACTACCAAAAACAATCTATAGATTCATTATACTCCCTATCAAAGTTCCAATGGCATTCTTCACAGGAATAGGAAATCCTAAAATTTATCTGAAAGTATAAAAGACCCAGATATTCAAAGTGATCTGAGCAAAAGGGCAAAATTGGTGGTATCATAATATGTGACTTCAAATTATGCTACAGGGCAACAGCATGATACTGACACAAAAGTAGACTAAAAGCCCAATAGAACAGATGATACACAAATAAGCCCACACAGCTACAGTCAGTTGATTTTCACAAAGATGCCAAAAAATATATGTCTGAGAAAAGGGAGCTCTTGGACATGTAGTGTTGGGAACTCTGCATATCCACATGTGCAAGACTGAAATGAGATCCCTGTTTCTTAACCTGTACAAAAATCAATTTTAAAAAATGGATCAAAGACCTTAATGTAAGAACCAAAACTTTGAAACTGTTACAGGAAATCATAGGGATCAAATAATGACTTTCTCACTAGGTTTTTGCTCAGGAAACAAGGTTTGATGAATGAGATTACATTAAAATAAAAGACTATGCTGCTTGAAAGAAACCGTGGAGATACAATCTAACGAAAGAGAAAAGATCACACTCAGCTATACATCAAACAAGGAATGGATACCTGTAATATATGAAGAGCCAAAGTAACAATATAATCAATAAACCAACAAACTGAACAGACATTTTAGAGAAGAAATACAAGTGACTAATATATGGGGAAATGTTCAACATTATTAGTCATAATGGAGTTGTGAATCATTTTGCAAACACTACTGAGATTCTATCTCACTCTCGATAGAAGGGCAGTATTAAGGAGATAAATGACAACAAATGTTGGCAAAGATGACAAGAGGAGAGGAACTTTTATATCTTGTTGGTGAGAATTCACATTAATGCAGAAACACTAAAAATAGTGTTCCTCAGAAACACTAAAAATAGAAATATCATCCTGACAGTTTGACAGGAAAATACCATATTCCTTTCACTGTTAAAAGTAAATATTAATGGTCTCCATTCTTCAATCAAAAGACAGGTGAGTTGGATCAAATATCAAGAACTAATTATTAAAATGCATCTTACTGACAAACACATTGGCTTAGAGTGACAAGATGGAAAAAGGTTTTCTCAACAAATGAAACCCAGAAACGATACTCATATTTGATAAAGCAGACCAAAATAATTCAGAAGAGACACAAGTCACTTCATATTAATAAAGGGAACAGTCCAATGTCTCTTGATGGACACACTAAGCAAGTGAGAATCTGAATAGTACATTGGTGAATAACCAGATTGTCACTGAACAGAGAAAAAGGAAAAAAATAAAAAATTCTAGAATTTGATTAAAGTGAAAAAAACTTACAATAACCTCTGAGACAGAGCAAGGACAGGCAAAGAGGAAAAAATGAGTGAAACTTTGAGTGCCTACAGGGGGGGGGGGGGGGGAGAGAGAGAGAGAGAGGACTCAAATAGCCTAATTATGCACCTTGAACTCCTAGACAAAAAAAACATCAAACCACTCAATCAAAAAAGCAGCAGGTGGCTTGCACAGTGGTTCAAGCCTTGTAATCCTAGCTACAATAACAAACCAAGACTAAGCTTAATATATATTATACTTGTTTTAGCACTTTAAAAGACAGCCGGGCACCAGTGGCTCACACCTGTAATCCTAGCAACTCAGGAGCCTGAGATCTGAGGATCGAGGTTCAAAGCCAACCTGGGCGAAAAAGTCTATGAGACTCTTATCTCCAATTAACCATGGGAACACTGGAAGTGGTGCTGTGGCTCAAATGGTATAGCACTCACCTTGAGCTGAAGAGCTCAGGGACAGTGCCCAGGCCCAGATTTCAAGCCCCACAACTGACAAAAAAAAACAAAAAAACACTTTATACTGTGATTATAAATAATCTAGTCCAAGTGTGAACTCAAATAGTAGGTAAATGTTATCAAGATATAATAATGAAAATGTCTTTAAATGGTTATTTTTTTTTATCCAGGCAGATTCAGAAGTGAGGATTCTAGTAACAGAAATGATTTTTGTTGCTAAGTGATGATTGTGATGATTTACTTCCTTTGGTGTTTGATAGCTCCAGAATATCATCTGTTTCCTTTGCCCAGTTCTTCCTTCCTACCACAGAAACCCAGACCAATGATGTAATGTTTAGGCAAAAAAAAAGGCATCTAGCGAGGGAAGGAGCCAATGCAGGATTTACGTGTAGAAACGGCGAGGGAGTTGGGGACTGTTTCTTCATATAATGTCCATTTCTCATGCACTGAAGGTGTTAAACTCATTAGTGGGTCTTTAATTGATAGCTAAACACAAATTTTTCATTGTAACCACAAGAGATTAAAACCACAGACTTAACTTTAACTATGGTAATTGAAAATTTTGCAAGAAAGAGTACCAATTTAGTCGGCTCTTCCTGTC